AAAAAGTCCTCAGAAATAAGCGCAGCCTCATTTCAGCGCTTTTCTCAAAGCCATTCAGCGGCTCGGTGCAGATTGGGATCTTTTATTTTTAATTCCTATCTCCTCCTCCTTCTCCTTCTCCCCTCCTCCTCCTCCTCCCCCTCCCACCTTCTTGCTTTGCTTACATGACCGCTTAATGTGCTCCGTGTGCGCCTCGTGGTTTGTCAGAGCACCTGCGTCCTAAGATGGAGGAAGGAGATGAAGGATGAGGATGCGCGGAGCGTTATGTCAGGGCGCTCTGTAACTTTGCCGTCCATCCCAGCAGAAAAAAACAACAACAACAAAAAAACTTCAGCTGAGTGTTTTGGAGCACCAACCAGTCAGGCAAATAAACAGAAGGCTTCTGAATGCAGAACCAGGTGTGTTTTAGTTCTGAGGCTTTTGCTGTTGGCTGGAAAATTTTAGGCCGATTTAACCAGTTTCTAAATGTTGTAATTCTACAAAAAAATGTGTCGACTTAGCACCTTAGTTTAACTTTTTCTGTAATTCCACCCAGATAGGAAAAAAAACACTTTTTTGAATTGTAATTTTATTTGGGAAGAGTAGGTGAAACAAAAAAAGGAGAGTTGTGGTTGACCTAAAAAACATAAATACATTACTTAAAAGTTACTTATTGAACTAAATTAAACAGGAACAAAATATGAAGACTATCCTCACCTGGCGTGTTTTTCCAAGCTTATGAGAAAGAAACGATAATAATAATAATAATAATAAAAGGTCGAAGCAGGAGAGAATAGCCTGTACTTGCAACACTTTATCAAGTCTGAGGACTCCAAAGTCCCTCACACAGCAACCAGACATTCATCTGTGTGCACACAGCGCTGTTAAGCCACATTGCGGCCATTCAGTAAGTGAATGTGGGTGTAGTGCTAATCGCTAACATTTATAACAATTATCAACTAATTTTTTTTCCAGTTTCAAAGAAGCACTTTCATAAATAGAAGTTGTACACTACTGTGTGCAAAACGATACAAACAGTCCAATGTGCAAAAACTGTAGCTGCAACTGCATTCTTTGTATGCAGCAGCCATATTGGCTAACTTAGCACTACTACGACTTTCATGAAGAAATGTCCTGTCATGTCATGAATCCTAGTCATGACATGGCCGAACTTATTTCATTTAGTGTCTTAAACTTAAAGTTCATAAAGCTGATTTTTTTTTATCACTTGTCATTTTTTTTTTGTAAAATAGAAAACGACAGAATGAGTTTTTAGTCTTAGTGCGAATGTATTCTGGTAAAATAAAGGTTTTAAAAAAGTCCAAAGAGAAGACACTGAATCTAATCATGCTGGCACGCTTGATTTTAGTGGTGGCACTTAAAGCCTTTTTTTTCTTTGCCGCCTCTTGACCAGAACTCCCTTGAAAAATAAGTTTTTAATCCTAGTGAGATTTTATCCTGTTAAAATAACGATTAAAAAAAGTCAAGACTTGACTTTAGCGATAGCGCTTGGCAGCCATTTAAAGCTGTTTCAAACTTTTACAAAAATCCTCAACAGAGAATCTGTTTCACCTACAAATCTCACTGTGTTTGTTAACTTTGCACAATTTACTTATTAATTCATCTTACGAGTTATATAAACATATTAGCTTGTTGTTGTCTGTCCGACAACAAATGAGAATCATGACTGACTGAATCAACATCCTCCATGAAATTCTTTTAAAAATGTTTATGTAGAATTTTTTACATCAAGACAGTTTATATAAAAAGAAAAATGTTAACATATGAATTAATTTAGTGGTATCTGTCTGTATTTAATTCCTCGCAAAATTCCTTTTTTATAGTGTATCCTAGTTTGGGGAAGGGGATTACAGAATTAGGTTATTGGTGCCTTATGTTGTCAGAGGACAGTGAAGTATAGACTAGACATTTCTCCTTTGCATCCTTTTTTTGTTTTGTTTTCCTGTGATAAGAGGAGACTTCGCGTATTTGTGAGGGCCTAAAAAGCATGCGGCAGTGAGGATAGCAGGTGCCTGGAGGAGGGAGGGAGCTGGAAGAGCAGCTGGGGCCAAATTGCACCCTCCTCTTCCCGGAGCCTGTATCAAGAATCTCAGCAACACGGGCAAAGGTCAGGGTCACCCCGCGCGTACGCTCTCAATGGAGAGAGGAGGCATCTGCATCGAAAGAACGGGAAGAATGAATTTCATGCCTCAGCTCTGAAGGAGAAATTGATTAAAATAAAAGAACGCTAATTAAAAAAGAAGTCCTACTAAATAGGCAGGACTAGCGAGGTAAGATCCATTTGAGACTTAAAAAAATGTTTGATGCATGAGTCGTTCTGCTCGTTCTTACAGTTTGTGTTCTGGTGACACATTTGATACCGAGGTCACGAAAGCCCCGAAGGGGCTTCCTCTAAATCCGCCCCAGGCCCCTCCATCGCCTCCCTCCAATTATCCTATAATTGAAAAATTGGACATCTGCTGCTCTTTGTTTTAACTCACCTCAGTGTTTGTACTCATCAACTCTGCATCATAAACTCATTCCTGACCTCTTGCTCGGCGTTTCTTTCACGTTTTTTGACAGAGACAAAGCCCACCTTTGGACCTGTCCGTCTCTACTGCGGGGATTGCTGTAATCACACAAAGTTGTCAGTAAATCCCGCTGAACAGGAGCAGGCCTGTATATCTGGGCCTGCCGTATTACTGTCACTGATTGAACACCCTGCTGTTTAATCTAACTCTGGATTTAGGCCTCTTTGCTCCATTGTCCTAGCGGAGTAAGCCCCACTACCGTAATAGCATTACTTGATCCTAAAGTTTACGGGGTTTTTTTCTTTAGTTTGAATCAACAGTAAAACCGAAGTGTTTGTTTCATAGATTTTGTCTTTTTATAAAATGGGATTTGATTTTTAAAAACTTCCTCATTTTGTATTCGTCTCCCAATCGTTCCCACCTCCCGATCCGGGCCTCCCCCAGCGAACAGCTAATTGTCTCGCGCTCCTCCAATTTTCACCATGAAATAATGAGCTTTGCATGTTTTTAGGTGTGGATGAGCAGCGTGTGATCCAACAGGAAGCAGGAGCTCTGATTAGTCTCCCTGTCAGCACAGAGGCGGGATAAAACCAGAGATAAAAAACAAAACAAAGGAGGGGTCACTTTGATCACTTTTCATAACCTTTTTTCCTGAGATTTTAAGCGCTCTGAAACGTCCACATGTGTTTGCAACCTGAGAAGCGGTCACAGCCGGAGGCTGCTTGTCCTGAAAAATCCTCTTTCACCTTCCCGGCATCCCAGCTGAACGTGGAGCGGCCGGATGGATGCTCCGCTTCCCTCTGTAATAAAGCGGTTTGTGTGTCTGCGGAGACACGGATAGCTGAGATAGAGATGCAGACCAACAGTACTGCTGCTGTAATCACTTTTTTTTTTCTGCTGGCAGATGAAAGTTGATAAACAAGCGTTTTCTGAAGAGTGCTGAGGTGAAGCAGGGAGGAGAGAGCCCACAGAATCCCATCAGCCCACTTTTATCTTGCAGTTTAGGTTCAGCCACAGGACGTTTGGGGAGGGAAGAGAATAATGGAGACAGAGGGGGACAGGTTTGCGTCTACCCACTCCAAACGCCAGAGTGCTTTAGAAAACAACATTATGGCATTTAACGTTGGAATCTAGAGGAATTATTTCACAATGAGCTGCTTTAATGCTGTAGCTTTTATAAACAACGTGATGTTTATGTTTACAAACTGTCACTATGTGGAAAAAATTTCACTGTGAAAAAATTAAGTTTCTCTGCCTTCTCCTAACTAAAAACAACCAATCAGAGCCCGGAGGTGGGTCTTAGTGCTGTCAATCATCCTGTGTGGCACTGCTCCCTGGCTCTCTGCTATGCTGCGGCTAGCATAGCCTATCAGGCTACGTCAAGTTGGTTAGCATGGCCAGTGATGGAGGCAGATAAACGGTTTTCTTGTGACAGTAAGTTGTTTCTGCGCCATTAGTGCGTTGAGGGGGAGTTTATGGGGATGATTGACAGCATTAAGCCCCTCCTTCTGGCTCTGATTGGTTGTCTTTGTTCAGGAGAGATGCATTTCTTCAGAAGGGAACAGGAACTCAGGGAAGAGGTGGAGGAGATTGTATATGTTCACACACATTACATACTGCACATTACATACTGCAGCTTTGATGAACTTCTACGACAGAGTGACCCAGACCTCGCTCTGTTTGGGTTTCTGTTTGCTCAGAGTTGAGTGTAAACTCAAGGACACTTCCTGTTTCACAACAGCCAGCACCTGCCTGCAGAGGGTGAAGCTAAAGGGTGGAGATGTATCTGAAAAGGAGTCGGATTTCACAGCACCAGCTGGGCCTGAAAACGGCAATGACACACACACACACACACACACGTGCGCACAGAGGGAGAGTGTGTGTTTGAGGTGTCTTAAAGCTGCATTAGTTGAAAAGTTCAGCCTTGGGCGTTCATAGTGTAATGCACTGCACTCTGGTTGAACTTAAAGCTGCAGCTCGGCTGTTAGATTCGTCACCTCCAGTCTGCCATGTCTTTAGAACCAGAGAGTCTGCTTCTCCTGGGACGGCATTACAAAGATGGGACCCAATGCTTTTACCCTGATGGAGGAAGAATACAAAAAACAAATCATCAACAACAGGGGGGTGGAGAGGATGAGAGGGTGAAGGAAAAAGGTTTGATTTATGTTTGATTTGCTCCCCCACTCCTCACCCTCTCTCTAATCATACACGGGCCTCGGAAAGCTGGATCAAAATGTGCAGGTTTGATTGATTCTAATAGCGAAGTGACAGGGATCCCAGCTGTGGCTCTTAGACGGCTTTGTGCTTCCTCCTCTTCCACTTAATAAAACCCCCTCCACTTTACTCTCCCCTCACCCAAACCCCATCCACCGGTACTGATGCTGATGATTTTACATATATTTTTTTCCCCCTCTCTCTCACCCTCACTCTCCTGTGTTCCCCTCCCTCCCTTCACTATGTCCTGCCCCCTCCCTCGTTTCCGTCCTTCAGAAAATGAGTTTCGGGGTGAGCTGGTGAACCAGCGGTGGACACGAGGCGAGAGGAATAGCAGCCGCTGTCAGGCCTCCCAGAGACTGCAGAGCCGTCGACCAATCATGGTGAGTGACATCCGCCCCTCCCCGCTCCACTTCCCCCCCGCCCTCCTCCACCTTATTCTCCCCACTCACCACACCCATCAACGCCCTCTTTTCCAGAGCTGATTCTGCTTCCTGGGCATTTCCCTGATCCCTAACTCAGCGGGGAAAGTTGGCTCGGATGGAGGAAGGAGGGGTCGCGTGTGTTTGTGTGTGTTGTTATTTTGCAGTGTGGGGGTTGGGATAGGATGTGGGGGTGGGGGGGCACATGAATCAAGCAGCACATCAAATCTCTGCTGGGCTCCCGGCCCCGCCCATCCCTTGCCTCGGCCTCGGCTCCGGCTCGGTTTAGTTAAGCTCAGCACAGCTCAGCTTTTTTCCTGCTGCTGAGTTCACTTCACAGGACTCACAATAAGAAGAAGAAGAAAAAAAAGGATGTCCTTGAGCGGCTCATGATTTTTATTTTTTTATTTATTTATTTATTTTGGTCAATGATATTCAGCGTTATCAGCAGAGCGGAGAAACTTCTGACCCCCGCTGCCACAATTTCAAGGATTCTCTAAACACCTGATCCCTGTTTTTTTTTTTTTTTGTTATTATTATTTTTTTTTCCAGAGCCGAGCAACTGAGAGGGGGCATCCAACAAAGAGATGGAGGGATTGAAGTGGGGGTGGAGGTGGGGGCTGGAAGCAGGAGGAGTGGGGGTGTTGTTTTCCCCTGGGCTCTGTAAAAGTAGTTCTGCTTCCCCCTGATGGCTCGGGTTCATCTGAAGAGATGACTTTTATTGATTGGGTTTGATTTCTGCCACATCCGAGGAGTGAGAGGTGCTGCTTTTAAACGCCTCATCAGGGGTCACACATAAAAAATCAGCCCAAGAGTCAGAATGTGCAGGGGCTAGCCCTGGATTAGCTGGCCATTGTCTCAAACTGTTTTTTTTTTGTTTGGTTACTTCTCCTCTCAATCATGACCAGCATTTATGTCTAAATACTAGCTCGACTCCTGTTAAAATGCTTAATCTTGTGAATTGCAGGTCTGCAATGAATTAATCACAGTTAATTGAAGACTATATCTTGACAAAATAAGCACCAGTCACAATTAAAAAATCCACTTTGCTGCTACATTATTGCATAAATAGACATATGAACTTAACAGTAAAGATATTTATAGTTTTCAATCTCCTGTTTAGGTTCCTCAACCATCACATTGGTCCTAAGTGCTCCTCTACCAGCACTTAGGTTTCAAGAAGCCCTGATCGTCCGTGTAACTTCTTTAGGACTGTGGACGCTGACATCAGCGTTGGGGATGTTTGTGTTGTTCCATCTCGCCAAGGCTTGAAAGGCATCTCTAATAGGCTAGCTCATTTTAGCACAACTTGAACAGAACTTTCCAAACGTCCCATCAGGTCCGTTTTTGAAGCAGAGATTAACCTCCAGTGAGTCTGTCAGATTTACTGGCCCTACCAGTAACGTAAGAAAACAAAGGTCCCATAACTTTTGTACATAAAAAAAAAAAAAGAAAGAAAAAAAATGGGATTATTTGTGCTAAAACTTTTAACATGTTAAAATCTACGAATTTAATGAATCAAATTTAACCTGTTAAAATCTTGAAACAAATGTTATCATTAAAGAAGCAGGAATAGACATTTGTAATATTTTGTACAGGGAAATGTTGGAAATCAGAAAATTACCTTTTTTCTACCTTTTGTGAAGTAATTCATGACATCTATATTGTGCAGTATTCCCACCACTGAATGTGGGAAGAGTAAATATTGAACGTCAGGAGGAAACCTGCAGCTCGTAGTTCACTGTTCACCCTGCTGCTCTAATGAGCTGATGTACTCCAGAGTCCGTTCTTTTCCTGAACGGACTCTGACTTTGCATCAGATCTTGCTTTAGCTCATAGAAACATTTATGTTTTTAATCCTGAATGAGACACGGTTAATAATCAATAAAAAAACCTCCTGATAGCTCGGCCTTACCCCTCCTCTTATTGTTTCCCTTTACGACAGCTGTAGGATCTGACCCCGGATCAGAGCTGGAAGAGACTTGACTCTGAGCCCTGAGTCACATCAGGATGACTCAGCCTGTAAATGGCAAACCTCTGACGGCAGACACACATATGACCCACTGTGTGGTCACACATGCTCCGTTCTTTTTCACATACAAGTTTGGTAACATGACATCTGCCCCGCTCCCTCCTCCGCCGTATCTGCTCTGCCTCCTGTGAACTGTCAGGGTGAAAGTGCAGAGAGGTTCTCCAACATGGAGGCTCTGAAGCTCTGCTCTAATTGGCAGCTGCTGTACGCAGGTCAGCCTCCTCCGCCTTCTCTCTCCACCTTAACCTGCCTCCTTCCCCTCATCAGTTGTTGTAAACCCGAAAATGGATAAAAGAGTCATTTACGTGCACCAGGGGATGGAGGGTGACCTTCTCTGTGAAGACGTTGCCCCCCGCCCCCAGTCAGACATTTACATGGAGCTGTCAGAATCGGGAGCAGAGCTGCGGCCCTCCTGCTCCGGCCGCTGCACACAAAGGAGGACGTAATTGATAATGTACAAGACAGCCTGAAGGGACGAGCGCTGTCTTCTTCCTCCTCCTATTTCTTTTTCTTCTCAACTCCCCCCTCCCCTGGCAGCTGCTCTGCACATTTCACACTCGTTAAAGCACATGACATGCACGGACCTACAGCAGGTTCTGCACACCAACTCCTTTTTCTCCCCGTTTCCGTACTGACCGCGCCGTCTGTGCTCCCATATGCATTCATTGTCGGTGTGCTCTACTTAAACGACTGTAAAGGACAAGTTTTGAGTTCTCGGAGGCCTTTGAAAGAGATCCTGGTTCTCGCCTGCCTGTCTGCGTTGGGATTTATTTGCTATGAATTTGTGTTCATGCAAATTTAATGAGCTGGAACTGAGGAATAAAAAAAAGGGACAGGAAAGAGAAGAGGACTCTGATATGCTTACCTATTTGAATGTACGTAACTATGGTTACACAAACATGAAAGCAACAGGAGGCCTTTTCAGTCCAGGTTTTGATTCACCCGGTGACTCTTGATGTAAGGAGGACGCAAGGGGAAAAAAAAAGCACAACAGTGCAATATGTTTTACTGTGTAGCTGGAAACATCCTCTATGTTGGCCTGTGGTTACATTCAGCCAGTTAAAATGGTTCTGAAGCAGATTTTGCCCAGTTTAACCTGTTAGACTTTATTCTCAGGCCTTCAGGTGATACATGCTGTGAACTGCCACTAAATAAATCAACTGAATCAAACAGAACGATCCATCAGCCTCCCTACTGGTTACAAAGTTTTTATTTTCATCACAGAGGATTTATTAAATAGAAGAAATGGCCAATTGTTTTTGAGGTGGTAATGGCTAAAATTTTAAACGTGTTAGTACTGAAGACTTTAAGCAAAAGTGCTACGTCCACTCTGGGATGTCTATAGAAAAATAAATAAAACAAAAACAAAAGAAAACTTCAGGTTGAAAATATCAGGTTGAGGATAAAAGGACACCCTCCAATTTGTTGCGTCTGATTTTCCAAAAGCTTTAAGCTGCCAAAAAAGAAACTAGTCGACTCAGCTGTTTCTTTAAGTATTGCCATTTAGGAAGATGCAGAGATCATTCAAAATATGTTTTTATAGCCTATTTGATAGGAACTTTATACCAGTTGAAAAAGCAGCATCGTGTGTTTGAGACACATCAGTGTTATTTTAAAACATCAAGAACATGACTATGTAGTTTCAGATTGAGCTTTCTTACACCAGTAGTAGCATAAGAAGCTCTGACTCTTGCCGTTGTTCTTTTACCACCAACATTTCGAGATCTTGTGTGTTCCTTGGCAGACTGAGGTCTGAAGGACACTCAGTTCAGCCGAGTGTCCTTCACACTGCTGGCTATTTGAAGGTCGTCTGGATGTACAGCAAATTTACCTTTTAAATAACATTTTAAACAATTTTATTCTTTTCTGATTTCATTTTTAAGCACTTTACTGAAATTAGACAGCTTTGAGTCTTCTTCGCTCAGTAACAACATCTACTCCAAAAGGTGTTATTGTTACCTGGTAGAGCTGAATCATGACGCATTCACCAGTCAGAGAAAGGTCAAGGTTTTGAGTTTCAAACTGGCTGGTCACTGGTTAGAGCTGACCAAGCTGTGAACTGGCCCTGGCTGGCTGAAGAGTTTTATTGTCATTTTAGTTGTTCTTCTAGTTTTCTGCCAGCTTTCAGACTATGAACTTGAATTAGCTTAGAGAGTTCATTTAAATCAATGCAATTCAGTTTATTTAAATCTCCCTTATTATTCAGTTTCATTCTTTTTAAGATTTAGTATTCCATGTCATGTTTATTGGTCATGATTCTGATCCCCTTCCTATGAAATATGACAGATTATGAATTCTGATCATAATGGAGTCCTGTCAATTAGATTTTTGAAAATAATCTGGTTGCAGTGGCCGGCACACTTCCACTAATCCGCTAATGCTGCAGTAGAGCGGCAAATTTTTTATTTACTGCTTTTTACTAACTTTTACAAACTTTTTCCTAAGGGCAATTAGCTTCCCCAAATTAATTATTTTAATTCTCAAGCACAAATTCACTTGGCTATTTTGTAAACCTTCAGTTGAATAAACATTGCAATCTGTGGTGAAGGTTCACTTATCGACTGTTAAGAGCTTTTCAGGTAATCAGTAGTTTATGTTGTTGCTCATATCACAAAGCAGGTGAAGATTGTTGTGTTTTCCCTCCTCATTTTCTCTTTTTTTGTGATCAATCTTTATTGATCAATTGTTTACCTTATTCAAACAAAGGAGTAAGGTAAACAAAACTTACATGAAATACAAAAATGCAACACTTTGATGTTAATTAGACAAATACCCGCTAAACGGCTGAATTTAGTGCTTTAGCATGTCAGCATTAATTTAAACTGAGTACAGTGCTGGAAGAGAGCTTTGGCTTTGGCTTTAGCCTTATCGGAAGCAATGTTTACAATTATTGCTTTAGGGTTAATATTGTCGACTTTTCAGTAGGGCATGGTCACAACATCCTGTGGCAGGCAGTTGCTCTTCGTATGTAAAAAAAAAAAAATCTACGGCTTTCAAAAATCTGATAAAAACAGATGTTAGGAAAAAAAGAATCCATTGTTTTCCCTTTGAAGTTGGCAATCTTTCCACATTTAGACACTGAAGTTAATTCTGGGTTGAACGCAAGAAAACATATGACAAGCTCACAAATAACTATGATACACTTGTCTTCCCTCTCAGAAGGACTGAAGCGCTCGGTAGTGGCTGGACAGAAAGCGACGTAGCTGGATTGAAAACGTTGAGGCCGGAGAGGAGCGGGCTGAGGCGGGGAACAGGAAGGAGGGGGTCGGGGGGCGGGGGGCTGCACCTGTACCTTCGGCCAACCGCTAATGAATGTACCCTCGATGGGAGTCAGGGGCGAAAAAAAGCCTTTAACAAGAACAACAGCTTGTTTCATCCTCCTCGCATCCTTCGTCCTCTCCTTCTTTTCATAAGTAGTCTATTAGCAGGAAAGGGGTTCTGCCAAATAGGGTGAAGACGAGAGAGAAAAAAACGACTCAGAGAAACCAAGACCCTATGTTTGAATCCCACTGTGACTGTGCCAACTTGACTAAAGAGGAGCTACAAAGCAGTTAAGTGGATGGGCAAGCCGGCGTGTCTGTAGGGGGGATGAAAGGCTGGTAGACGGGGAGCGTGCAGAAGGAAGTGTGGGACAGAAAGAAGGGAGAGCAGAAATATATATTTATATAAAAAAACAGAGTCCAGTAATCAAAGCTAATGGCTCCATTGTGTCTAGAGAGCATCTGATAGCTTTATAGAGGAACCCTAAGCGTGTAGAGGTAGCAATGAGGAGGTGTGGTCCATGGTCAGTGTGTGCACGTGTGCGCGTGTGCACAAGGGTTAACACCTGCTCCTTTGTGGCTTTAAAAGCCGAGGCACAAACACACACACACACACACACACATTGACGCACTCGTCTCCTCTTCTTAAAAGGGTTATTACAGCAGCCCGTGTGTTTTCGCTTTATTATTATATTCAGCGTAGTTATGATTGTCGGCCCCTCTGCTCACAGGGGCCGCGGCCCCCTGCGCCGGCGCCGCCTGTTGCCTCCGCGCAGACCACAATCATGAGCAGCACTCAGAAGCAGGAAATTACAGGGGGAGTGTTGGGGGGTGGGTGGGTTGGTGGGTGTTCCTAGTTTGTTTTCCATGTAACCCTCATTTGTGATGAAGCGAACATGATGTTAGCATGTTTTAAGTGTGTTTTTGTTTTGGGTTTATTTTTTTCTGTGGCAATGCAGCGGTGTGTGTGAACACAAGTGTCTCGATGCGACGGCCTCTTTTGCGTCAGCGCCACACTTCATCTGTGTTTGAACGGGAACATTTTGAACGGATCTTTTTATAGCAGCTGTTTTGAAGCACACAAAGACAATGAACTCTGGGGGCTTTTTTTCCACAACTAACCACTGACTGTCTCTTTCTCTCTCGCTCTTTTCTGTTTCCTCCCATTTCTCCCCTTGTTTGCTTTTCTCTTTCCTCCCCTTCTTGCCTCTTCCTTTCATCCCAGATGAGTGTGGAGGGTGACGACAAGCGAACTCGCACTCGGTCAAAGGGAATCAGAGGTGAGCGTCGGCAGCGTCTCTCCACCTTGTCAAGCTTTTTGCAGCTGTTAAATACACATCCAGTCCCCCTGATTCACATCCAAACATCCTCCGCTCGTCTACTGGAGCTGACTGATGACTTGGTTTTGTTGCATATGTTCCTTGTAGAAGAGTTTATGCAAAATTTAGCTTAGGGAGTAACTATTTTTGCCCATGTGTATTTCTAGATAATCCAGATGTTTTAGTTATTGTTTCTACTGGTCCAGTGTGGAATCACTGGAGAAGCATTGAACAAGACAACATATTGGTATTTCCAGACTAACACTGTTTAACTGTTTATTCCGATCAACCAAGTTGAGTCTGGAAAAGTCAGAAGCAACATTTCCAGAAACCCGATTTCTTTCATTTCCCCCAACATTTTTACTTCCTGTTGTGTAGCACTAGTTAAAGTTTGACTCAAGCTGCAGAATCAAGTTTATGTAGATGATCAGTCATAACATGACCATAACTATGTATGGGAACCAATCCTTCAATCCATTTTCTATATGTTTGTTCGTGCTAACCTGAGCTTCCGATTAGAGATTCCAAGATGAACAAAATCCTTGCTAAGTTTATTTGCTTGATTTAAAGATTACTATAGGCCAAGCCTAAATCGTTTAGTCTCTCAGGATCTCAGGTTTTTGTTTGTTTGTTTGTTTGTTTGTTTAAATCAAACTTAGTGAGTAATGGGTTTGCTGGACATCTTGTTGCGTTGCTGTTTCACATGTGTGTAGTTTTGCTGACTTTAGACCAGACGTTTTCAGGTACTAAGGAGATCAGCCAGCTCTACACCCAAACTTTCAGCTCAAATTGTTTAGCTTTGAAAGTGAAATGAAATTAGAAATTATTTTAAGTTTTATTGGATAAAAAAGAACCCTCAGGGGCTGCGATGGTTACTGAAATGAGAATAAACGCGCAAGTTATTTATATTTCATAAGTACATATATGAAATTCGATTGATCTCATTTTAACAGTATCTAGATTTAATAGAACGAGTTTATTTTTTAATTTTTTTTATTACACAAAGTGCTTTGAAATGTGTTTTTTTTAGATAAAACAACATTAATGTGAAGGTGATATCATCAACATTGGTTTTTTTTTGCCATCTCTGTCACCTGATGCGTGTAAAGATTTTCTGAAAGCGTTGAGGCCTTGTGTTTTGAATCTAAACCCTTTTTGACAAAAAAGATAATGCAAAACGTTAATGTAGGAAAACATCTGCCGCAGAAACAGAAAACTGTCTTCAAATCAGTTCAGCTGCGACTCTGACGATTAGAAGGAATCCTGGGCATGTTTTCATGTTTCACTAGGAATTTTCACAAGAGATTGGTAATTTATGTATGGTGTGTCCTTGAATGAGTGTCTAATATGCACATATTTATAAAACTTTCATTTTTAGTGTGTGTGTGTATGTTTGATGTTTTGAAGAGAGACAGCAGAGCGTCAGTTCACCAAGCATTCAGAGTGCAAGAAGGCGTCCAGTCATTCCAACCGCATGATGAAAGACCGAGAAACTGAAATGTTGCACACACACACACACACACACACACACACACACACACACACACACACACACACACACACACACACACACACACACACACACACACACACACACACACACACACACACACACACAAATAAGAAGCCTGTGTGTGTTAGTGTTTATTTTCTTTGCTTTTGGAGTAGCCAGCTACCCAGGCTGTTTCTGACATGTGATTAATGCATGTGATATCAGAGCCCAAACTGAATTCTCCAGGATGCTATTGTTTTCTTATTTTGCTCCAAATGAAAATAGGATATTTCTCCCAACTCGTTCATGCCCATCGTTGCCTCGCAATCCCCACGGCCGCGGGCTGCTGCGCGCCAGCACAGCTTGATTTATGTTTTCGAGGCAATTACTATAAGTTGCCCCTGAAAGAAGTCCTGTTTTCTACTGATGAAGGCACTTTTTTTTTTTTGCTTTTTAATTTCATTTTCTCAATTATGATAACTAAAGTGTAACAATTAATCTTGTTTTCTTGCTGAAGTCTGCACATAACCAGCCTCCTTTCTGAGCAGCAGTGGGCTGATATAGGCTTTCCGCGTGTGTGTGGGTGGGGGAGGGGGGACAAGGGGAGGGAGGGAGGGTGTTTCACCTGCCACATTGTGCACTGCATTTTGTTTCATGCTCGATCTTGCATGTGTGCTGATGTGTGTATGTTTAGATATAAATATATATGTATGTGTGTCAGTAAACTCAGAAGGTGTGTTCCCCCCCCCCCATCTGATCACACGTTCAGCAGCATGTAAGCCTCTATGAGAAAATCCTCATGGGGTTCGTATGCATTTGTTATTTATTGATCTGGGTTTCTTTTAGCAGCGCTGTGTTCTGAGCAGTCATTCACTTTTGTTCTCCCCGTTCTCTTTTCCTCTCCTTCCTTTTTTTTTCTTTCAGTTCCCATTGAGCTCGTAGGACAAGAGCTGAGGTAAGGAAACACCGTCATCTTTGTACAGAATCCTTTCATAAAGTTCTTTCATGTGCGCCGCCGTGCAGCAGCCCCCCCTTAGCACTCGTACACCAGCGGTGCTCCTTTAGACAATGTCGTATAATATTAGTTTTTATTCGTTACTATCAGCAGTTTTCAGCTCATGGTCAGTGCCTCCAACATGCTGCTATTGATTCCTGGCAGCCTTTTGCTGCGTACTGTAGTTGCGATGAAAGAGCCGTGTGATCTCTTTTGCTTCCTGATGGAAGCGTGAGCCAGGAGGACGGCGAGGCCTGATTATGTAGTTTTGCCTGTCGGCCGCAGCCTTCCTGTTGTTTCCCACACAGCCGACATCTTTGGGGACCAGGAAGTCGCCTCTCCTGAGGTGTCTGAGGTGAGCGGGTTCTGTATTAATGGAGAAACTCCAATTCACTTATCAAACCAAACATACAGAGGAATTTGAAATCTTACTAATTTTTTTTAACTACATTTATTTTTGGAAAAGTCATTTATAGGCCTTTATAACTAGCAATCTCTGTACACCATTTCAGAATACAAAGCAATCGTAATTTCCCTTTTTTTTTCATTCATCGGTTTAAAGTCCCTTCAGAAAATGTGTTTTTTGTCGTTACTGCAGAAGAAGATATTCGTTTTATTGGCTGCATGAGCACATTTCTGTGCGTGGGATGAAAAAGAATCAAGTTTTGGAGTTTTTTTTAAGTACTGCTCACCAAAACAATGCGAAAACTCATCAAGCGCAGAAACAATTCAATTTGCATAAATGGAATGAGGGGAAAAAAAGTATTTTTTTTTTCAGAGGCAAAACAATAATTGAAAAATTTCTATCCATATTGTTATTGTAACATGGCAAAGAGTCCACATAGGGCTCAAATTTAAGTGATCGTTCAGGATTTTGTTACAAATGTAAAGTCCCGGTTTGCAATTTTATAAGGTTTCTACATGAAGAAAAAAGCATTTTTACAGTTTATCATAAAACTGGGAAAGTTTTGGTTACTGGTGGTTTTGACTCTCAACAAGGTCCTGGTTTGTCACGAGGCCCTTTGGGGGAAAATGATTTTCCTCCCCTGTTCTAAATGATTCTCCTCATCCCCACCTTCATTTTGTCATACTTCACCTCGGAGCGCTGATCTGCACTCAGCGCGTTGGGAAAAAAAAGCTTCACTTTTTTTAGGGACTGAGAGAGAGGGAGAGGAAAAAGAAAACAGTAGGGAAGGCCAGCGAGTGTCTCATTTAAAATGCTAATGCGGCAATTTTTAATAAGTAAAATTAATAATAGGGATAATTGGAGTAATAAAGGGCAATTGCTGGGGGAAGTTAATGAGAATTAAAATGAGCCATCCTGAGGGGTCATGGCAACCTGAATCAAAAAGCAGAGAGAAAGGAAAAGAGTGAGCACCGAAGATGATGGTGATGATGATGATGACTGGTGAAGAGAGGCGAACAGGGGAAATTACAGCAGGTCTCGGCTGATCTTTATCGCTCGTAGTAACAGGATATAGGCCAGGGTTGATGTACGACACATAATATTCTGCTTCCCCCGGCTGGATGCCACCTGCATTCATGCATCATGTGTGTCGGCCGGATGGGCCGGGCTGCATATCTTCCTTTGTACATGTGCATTTGTGTGACACGTTTGCATCTCTTTGCTTTGTTTTCTTTATCTTAATTTTCTTTTTACTGCCTGTGTTTATCACTGCTGCTGCTGCTGCTGCTGCTGCACAAGGACTAAAATGCTCTTGTGTCTTAAACATATCTCTAACCTCCATCCATCCCATCCAGCTGCCCCACCCCCGGATGCAATGGCTCCGGCCATATCAGTGGGAGATACTCACGACACAGAAGGTAGGGCAGATTAAACCCACCCTCTGTCTGTCCCCCCTCCTCTGTCTGCCATCCTCCTCTTGCTGTTTGCTTTTAGAGACAATCAGAGGAATCAGGTTTCTGGACAGATTTAAGATACAAAAAGTGCTTAAATGTTAAAGTTTGAAAATTTCAAAAATTAAAAACCATGTAAATATAGCAGTAAAGTGAATGGTGATGAGGAAGCCTGGCAGACAATTTTTTTTGCGAAGGCTACATTCAGACGAGACCAACAGGCTAAACATTTAGATTCTTTTTTCTGCTTTAAATAAGGGCTGTAGCCTGGTGAAAACCAGTCCTGTGGTCTGGACCCTCGGCTGTTGCCCGTGACGTATGTAATTACCAGTTTGACGCTAAGAAGCTTACCGGAAATGAAACATTCGTCCTCCACTGCGAGGCAGCTGCTAATGCTAATTCATTATTTGGAAGCGCAGCCAACACAGACTGAATGCCTTCCTTCACTTCTTCCACTGCTGTCGCTAAAACTGCAGCCAGACTGCAATTCTAAAACAGCGTGGAAAACCAGTGTCATTGTTCACAACGTCTCCTTCTGTTCACTGATTTGCCCGTTTCACATTTCACTGGAGAGATTCTCTTCAATGGGAGAAATCCCTGAAGGGAGATTAGAAGTGAGCAGGAATATCGTTAATCCAGATGTTTGTTGATGGCCTGTCTTTAGCTATGATTACAGTGCCTCCATCACAAATTTCAAATTTAAAAATGAACAATATTGCTGACACTCCTAAAAACAAACACATTTAAACTGGATTAATCTGTCAAAAACTGGCCATGAAAGCAGAAAATTAAGAAGAAATGAAAAACAATGAATGACTCATTTTCTGGTGATAATTTGAGTAAAAGATTTTTAAGATGTTCAATTTCATACAAGAAGTTCAAATCATCATCATGATTTATTTCCAAGACCAATACCATATTTTATATTTTAGGGACCACAGATTCGGTGTCAAAAGGATTCCATCCTTTCAGAAAATCCAAAATCTAAGAAACTAGTCTTATTAGACTCTGATATTTTGGGTGGCTCTTTCTAAACTTAATTGTGAAAGCGAAGCATCAGCTTTTAATTTGACTGTCAGGCCTCAACCACAGCCTTCAACATCTCAATGTCCTGATTCTTTGTTTTCCTTCAGCTTTGAAACCATGTGCTGCCTTGAGAATTCATTATTAATTAATTAATCAATTTTCGCTGTAGAAATACAATATTATTTACTTAAATAATAAATCAAAAAAACATGAATGATACACCAGGCAATCGAGAGCAGACTGAACACTGAGTTGCTGCTCACAGCTAAGAAACACTTAAATCACAATGTGGATTACAGATGAGAAACGAATGATCCATAACACTTTAATTAAACAGCTTCAGACCTGATGGGGAGCTTGTGGGCTGTGCAATCAGGTCCCGTGTTTAGATGAACACACACACACACACACACACACACACACACACACACACACACACACACACACACACACACACACACACACACACACACACACACACACAACGTGTCAGTGAGAAGCTGGGACTCTTGCAGTTTGATCTGATGCGACAAACTTGACAATACAGTGATCACAGCAGGACTAATAAATGCCAACATCAGACAAAGAAGGAACTGACCTATGGATCTCTACATGTCAACATTAACCTGACACAAGATGGCCTCTCTCAATTGAATAAATACTAATAGCCTTACTGAAACCTTTTGGCTTCATCACGTCAAAATATTCAGACACGTTGGTGTTTGCTATGCCAAACATTTGGACATGTTCAGATTGTTTGTAGGTAAAACAACCTCCTTAGATTTTGATATTTCGACTGAAATTTCCCTGAAATGTGACAGAGAAGTGATTTCAGTATGATAATAAAAGAAAAAAAATTGTTAAAGTTTGAAAACTGCAGGAATTTCTCTGGTGAAGTATTTATAAAAGTTCAACAGGGTATAAATACATTTTTAAGGCCTTTATAAAAAACAAACTGATTACTTGGATAAGTAGAGTTGCATTTCCAGCTTTAATGCTGCAGTATGAAAGTATTGTAAGGAATATGCATTTTACATATTTGCTGAAACTGTCACCATATTGTGACAGTATGCTATGAGACAGATAATCTGTGAAGAAAATGGATCTCCTCCATCTTCTCCTTTAGCTTCTGCAGGACAGAGCTATTGGTTGTTTTTGGTCTGGATGCACCGCCAGGGGGAGGGTCGTAGCGCTGTCAATAAACCTTGTGTAGTTGTTGCTAAATGTGCAGAGAAACAACTTATCTTTACAGGGAAACTGTGTATCTGCCATTATCTGTGGCCATGCTATCTGGCCTGAGCATTCACAACAAGCTGCTGCAGGTCAGTAGAGAGCAGGGAGAGGGCTAAGGAGGGGCAGTGAGCAGCGCCATAAGGACACTAATTGACAGCACTAAGACCCACCTCCTGGTTCTGATTGGCTGTTTCTAGTTAGCACTGGGAACACTGGGAGGAGCAGAGGAGCTCAATGTTTTCACAAGTTATCTGTCTCATAAACTGTCATGACATAGTGACATTTCAACAAATATGCAAAAAAAAAAAAAAAAAAAGAAATGACACTGCAGTGTTAATATGAAAGCATCACTTGAGAGGAACCTGAGCTACATCATGAATAATAGCCAATCAAAAGATGCCATTTGTTTTCCTGCTCTGAATCTTGAAGCTAACAGCAGCGAGATGTGATTTTGTCCGGCTTCTTCACTTCAGCCTCATTTCTCCTCCTTCCATTCCACACATGTGCTGTCGCCCGCAGAGACCCTGTGATGCCTAAAGGGGGTGGGAGGGTGGAGGTTCACCGGATTGTGACTCCTCTTTATTGAAGGGAAGATATTAGCTATCTGTTTACATGTGTATTCGTTCAGCAGGCAATTTCAGATGCACTTTGTTTATAGATCGTCCCTCGGTCTCCCTCGGCATCTTCCAGGTGCGAATAAGAGGGAGTTTATTGGATTTCACCCTCTGCTGCCTCGCCCGCCAGCCCGCCTCTCCATACAAGTTGTTCATTAAACGTTCCACTCAATTGGCTGAGATAGGTTTTGATGTCTAAGGGAGCGAGCGGGGCGCCACCCGCAGGCCACATGTCATACTGCAAGATCAGCTCCATGCCTCTTCATCTCTAAACTTTTTCCTTTGTTTTGATGTTTTTTTTTTCTGCTTCCTGATTCTGCATGAGCTTTCACAAAGGTCAAAGGTGAACTTGATTCTGGTCCTAAAACGATTGTGTCTCCTCCCCACACAAGCCTTCTGGCTTGCCCCATCGCCAGGAAGCGCCGTCTGGAAGAAGCTGAGCAGGAGCAGGAACAGGAAGCGGAGAAGCCCGCCTCCAAGAGGAAGTCTCACCCCCTGAAGCTCGCCTTGGATGAGGGCTTCAGTGCCGAGAGCGACGGTAGCAGCGAGGCAGAGGAGGAAGCCGAGAAGGATGGAGGGAAGGTGGAAAAGGAGGTCACCGGGTCAGGAGAGGAGGAAGACAAAGATGGAGGTGCGGAGGAAGAAGAGATAGCGGCTGAACCCCTGGAGAAGGATGCTGATGGACTAATGAAGGGGCAGGAGGAAGAAGAAGAGGAGAAAGAGACGCAGGAGGAGGAGAGAACATCAGCAGGTGATGAAGGTAAGGCTTAACAACCTGAACGTTTTCCACCTTTTTAATTTCAACTTTAGACAAAACTTCTAACTTCATAAGTTTCCTCCATCAGCTTCCTCTCATTAAATAATTAAGACATTATTCAGCGTTTTCCAGACAGACAGCATGGAGACCATCCATTTTTTATCTCCAGCTAATGCTCCGGGCGAGAGGCAGGGTCACCCTGGACAGGTCGCCAGTCTGTCGCAGGCCAACAGAGACAGACAACCATGCACACATACACACTCACACCTAGAGAATTCAGAGAGCCCAATTTACTTGACAGTCATGTTTTTGGACTGTGGGAGGAAGCCGGAGTACCTGGAGAGAACCCAGCATGCACAGGGAGAACATGCAAAAAGACTCCGGGCCAGGAATTGAACCCATGACCTTTTTGCTGCAAGGCAACAGTGCTAAAAGATAACACAGTTTGGCAGAAAAGTGTTCTGAAAATAAAACTTGAATGCCTATTTATATTTCTAATGTAGTAAATGTCACATTCTACCTATTTTATGCCCTGGACAGTTTACAGAAATGCAGAGTTAGAGGTGATGTAGATTTTGTAGGTTTGATCAAGAATTGCTTAGTTTTTTTTTTTTAACTTGACTCTGACTTTGTGGCTAATTAAAAAGCAGACCTGGAGAAAATTGCACTGTTCAAATGTGGCCAATTTAAGTATTTTGACCACATGCAAAATGATATTCAAGGTTGAAAAGTAATGCTGCACATCATCCTAAAAACACCATGAAACATGGTGGTGACGGCATTACTCTCCTGTAATGCTTTTGTTTGAGAGGATAAGTGAAGCAGAGTTGACTAGATGGAAAAATGGTTTAGGGTCAGTGCAGGGCAAAATGTGAAAATATTCAAAAGTGTGAATACTTTTGCAGGGCACTGTAGGTCGATGCTTGGTGACTCAACAATCTGAACAGAAAAATATGAGAAGAAAACAAGATCCCCATAAAAACCTGCAGAAATCCCACCATGCTGATCATTAAAACCACTTTAAAAACTTAGCAGAAAGTTCAGAGGGTTTTAAGCAACTATATGAAACTATGCAGGGTGAGTTTGTACTGCGTTTCTTCATCTTCAAGAGAGTGAGGACACAAAGTAAAGACGAAATGTACTGCAATACCTCTTGATTAGAACTGGATCAATTCTCTTTCTCTATCTACTAGCTGCAGATTTGTCACAGCGGGTCGTTTTCACTGCGCTGTCACTTCACAGGCAGCGAAGTGATGCAAGCGATGACAGAGATGTTGCTGACAACAGCTTGAGCTCACTGCGTGACTCAGACTGCTGGAACCTCTTCTTCTCTGCCTTCCACAGAGCAAGAGTGTGTGATTGTGGAGCCGGAGCACCGAGCCACGTCGCCTGACGCCGAGGTGCGCCGGCCTCCCTCCCAGAGCGCCGAAGAGGTGGCCGACTCCCTGCTCCACCTGGGCCGGGTTTCCAACGGCCACACTGTTGGCGTGGTTGTGCAGCAGATTGAAGATGTCAGAGCGACAGCTGAACAGGGTGAAGAAGCAAAGCATCAGCAGGAGGGGGACGCGCAGGAGGAGGAGGAGGCACAAAGATCTCCGGAGGAGTCATCTGTTCTGCAGAATGAGGCGAGGAAGGTGGAGGAAGAACAAGGGGAGCGTGTTAACATGAGCAACCATGTGAGCCATGGCAAACAGATCAAAGGCGAAGAGGAGGAGGAGATGGTTGTGTCGGTGCAGCAGACGCAGGAGACCCCGACAGAAGATGAGGAGGATGATGAGAAAGATGAAGAGGAGCAAAGGAGGCCTTTCCTCTCCATATCTGATGTGCCAATCGCCGTCCGAACTATCACCAGCACAGCAGCAGCTCAGGGAACTCACATCAAGACAGAAAACCACATCCTTCAGGAGGACTACAGCAGCGACAGGTACGACTCGTTTCAAAACTTCAAAAGCAGCCCTCCTTTAAGCTTCGGCTCCCACAGGGCCAGCCCGCTCGACGACTACTACTCCATCCCAAGATTGGAGAACTACAAACTCCACAAGGCCTCTTCCTCGGCCTCCCCGGACGTCATCGAAGTGCGATCCGATAAGTCGGAGGACAAAGACTTTGATGACCTCGACGGAGACGATGAGCGAGATGATGAAGACAGCCTGTCTCAGCGTTCCACGGTGACCGATGAGTCGGAGATGTTCGACATGACCAGAGGGAACCTGGGTCTCCTGGAGCAGGCAATCGCTCTCAAGGCTGAGCAGGTGAAGCCCGCCGGGCCCAGGGAGCTGCTCCGCGCTCCAGACCTCCACCACCAGAGATACTTCACCATTGAGGACAGACCCAAGCACCTAGACATCATCCGGAAGACCTACTTCAGCAAAGGTCAGAAAGTCTCTAAAATATTTGACCTACACAACAGAAATGTAGTTTCACCATGTTTTCCTCAGACATATAGACAATCAAACTTTGTGACAGCTCAGCTCTTTTGTCACAGTTAGGAGATTTATTTTTCTCATCTGAACATTGTTAGAATTGTATTGAATATGCCAGCACACACCTTCATATGGACCGCACAGCTGGTGTCAGAGTTTGGGCCTCTTTGAGGTCAGAGGTGAGAGTTGGACTCCTCCAGGATTATCCTTTGCCACTGATTCTGATCATAACTGTTAGAGACAGAAATTCGAGGCTCAGCCACAGTGTTGAGAGGATCCACTTTGGAGGCCTCAGGATCACACTTGCTGCTGAGTGAGAAGTGGCCAGGATGACAATTACCATCTCCAAATTCAAGACTGCAATCTTGAACCAGACAAAGAGTAGAGCTTCTCTGGGTCCTGCCCCAAGTGGAGGAGTTCCAGTATATCAGGGTCTTGTTGAAAGATGAGGGAAAAAATTGCGAACAATAGGCAGAAAGGTGCAGCGTCTGCTATGAAGGGAGCACTGCAGCAGTTTGCTGTGATGAAGAACATAGATAAGCTCAGTTGGCTGATCTTTGTTCCTTACCTTCATTTATGGTCACAACCTTCTGGGTGGTGACCAAAAGACCAAAAAGCAACTAAAAATGTTTACTCCATAGGGTGTCTGGGATCTTTGCTGGAGATAGGGTGAGAAGCTTGTTCATCTGGGAGGGACTCAGAGTAGAGCCGCTGCTTCTCCACAGCGAGAGGAGCCAGTTCAAATGGCTCCTCAACGCCTAATATTTTAGGATTCCCCAGAGGAGGTGGCCCAAGTGAGTGAAGTCTGCGTCTTAGGTTGCTGATCTGGTGACACCCGATTAAGTGCAAGATAGTTATATATACTATTCACATTGTAATATTTATGGTGAAAGCAAACAGTTGCATGAGAGCACGGAAAAACTCTGAAGTAAATCAGCGCGAATGTTCACATCCAAATCCTGGTAGCGGAAGCAGCATGTTCAGTTAAACAGTGTACCAAATAAGCAGCGGAGAGCCACAGAGCTCTGTGCGGCTCCTCCCATCTTCATTGTAACGTGGATGAAGAGGCTCCAGCTGAGAGACAGCACCGAAGTGTGGAGAGGAAGTGCTCGAAGAGAGGCCGAGGAGACGGCATGTCAAGAGAGGAGAAGGAGGAGTGTGGGTTGCTCCGCTGCTAGCGTGCGTGGAGTGTTTGTTTACGTGTGCTTGGGCCTCGTATTTCACTGCTGGCACGCTGCCCACTTGTCATGCTCACGGTGAAGCAGCAGTGTGATTACATGCCTGGTAGTGCTGCCCTCTCCTTGGCCCCAGCTCCCTCCTGTGGTGGCGTTCATGTTCTCCTCGTCGCTAATTAGGAGATGCATGTCTCGTTAACATTCAATTTGAAGGCCAACAGAGCATCGCACCGTCTTCTTGCTCCACTTTCCTCTCCAGTGGCACAGATATTTCCTGGCCTACCTCCAAAGTCATTTGGGAGGACCGCGCTTAGTTTTTATTTATTTTACTGACGTATTTGTATTTGTATTGGATCACAATAGAAAGTATGAAGCAAGGGGTCAAACTGTCACAATTTCAATTAAACCATTACTACTATTTTATTTTTTTTAACCTGATCCTGACATAAATAAATATGTAAATAATAACTAATTGGCTATCTTTCAGTCAAAAAGTATCTTCAAAAAATATATTTGTGAAACACAGTATTTCATAATACTTTAAAAGAAAAGTAAAAATGGGAAACAGAGACAAATAACATACAAGTAAAAAAAAAATACATAAAACAAATTATAATAATGCATAGGTATTACAAAAGTAGAACGAACCAATAAAAGTCCAATTTAGAACAGATAAATAGTTAAGACTAGTGAAACTCCATTAATGAATCACAATTAGTTGTAGTTTCATCAAAAACTATATAACGACAAAATAAGCAACATTTTCAACTCAAAATCTCCTTTTTGCTGCAAATTGTTCAATAAATGGACAGGTGAGTCCTAATTCCTAATGTAATTCAATCTAGTTTTTACGTTTGGGGAAAAGAAGAATGATTTATGTTCATTATGTGTCAAATTTTCATTTTATGATTGCAATTTAGATCTGAAGAAATGAAAAATTGGAAAAACATTAGCGAAATTGGTAAGTCATTAAAAAAGAGAGAAAGCACAAACCAATATTGATTTCTTTGAATTATTCATTTTTGGCCTCTTTTTGGATTGAATATCGTAGCTACAATATCATGTACATCTACCAAAAGCCCTTTTTTCAACTGAAAGCTAAAACGAAGACATATTCACATACTTGTAAATGATTTTAGGGAAAAAAAAGTTCAGAAGCAGCTCAATGTGTAACTTCTGTGTAATGAACTCACTGAGATGAAATACTGGCTTTCTAAAGCAAAGCCAGCACGTTCAGCGCCTCATCCTGTCAATATTTAATTACAAGTGCCAGTTTCCGCTACATGCTGACATTTACCTTTCAAATGAACTTAGCCCAATATTAACCTAGAAACATGTGAACATTTTATAGATTGTAATTTGAACCAAAACGTGCTCAGTGGGAAGTAGATGGTTGAAAAGCTGAATGGCGTGTTTTTATTTCCTCGAAAAGATCAAATAAAGGAAATTTGAAGTTGACTCCTTTCTGCATTTAGAGAGGATCAGAACTTACAAATAATAAAAATGCAAACAAAAGAAAATGATAATTTGTAATGCCTGAAAAACATCATCATGAAAACCAGGTTTGCTAGCTATTCCAATTATCGCTTTCTGTATTTAAACATGTAAAAATGGCTGATTGTGAAGTCAAGACTTTTTTTTTTCACTTCTTATTGTTTCCATAAATTTGTTTCACGGCTTTTACAGATTTTATGCAGTTTAATTAGAAATATTGGAAAGTTTGGTAGAACTTCTGTACACCTAAAGAACACAAGTTCTTAAGTAAGTTTTTACCTCTAAAATGTTTACAAATTCCTTTTTTATAATTTCATACACCAAACATAACTTAATATGCATTAATACACATAGTGGAAACCATCTTGGCACTTCCATAGAAGCTACAGTCTTCCTTAAGTCTGGACCAGGGGTGCAGCTAATCAGTGCCAAAGGAAATGAATGGCTCTACTGGATTGGCTGCTTCGCAAATGCCAGCTGATCGTGTGTCAAGTAGCATCTTGAAGTGGGAGTGTGCGGGAGTCCTCTGCACCTCACTGCCTGCGACACCATTTAAAGAAAAAGAAAGTAAAAGCAAACCACAGTTTTTATGCACCATGATGGACAGGATGGTTCCACAAAGTGACGGCAGATAGAAGTTGTGATAAATCTTTGCATCCTACACCAGAACCAGATTTGAAGAGAACGCACACCTCCCTAATTATGAAAAGTTTATAAAGGATGCCTTTTTTTTTTTTTTTTTTTTTTTTACCAAACAAGACTGCTGAAAATGTCACATCTTATAGCAACAAGGCATCTTTCAGAAAGAGTCTTCAGTAATTTTTGCAGAATTGGATTCAGGTTTACGCAGATGCTTAAGACGTGAAGAGATACAGATGGTGTTGCCGTGGTGCAGTTGTCTGAAATATGTCTAGATTTCACGCTCAGCCAAGCAGACGGTCTGATGGCATTAACCACTCGGTCCTGTCCTCCTTTCTCATCCCACTCTCCCACCTCATTCTTGCCCTTCTCATTTCTTTTTCTTTCTTTTTTTCCTTCTTTCTTTTCGTCTGTCTGTCTGTTTCCAGAGAGGCCGGAGAAGAGAGAGAACAAGTGTCCCACGCCGGGGTGTGACGGGACGGGCCATGTGACCGGCCTCTACCCCCACCACCGCAGCCTGTCAGGCTGTCCGCACAAGGACAGGATCCCCCCAGAGAGTGAGTTTGGGTTGGTCTTCACCCTGAATACAAACACGTTTCTGAGGAGAGGAAATTTCACAATGGCAGAATCTTTATGGCAGCTTTTCTTGTGGTTTCAAAAGATTGTCTGGCTGCTACATTTTTTATTTTAATTTCACTATTTTATTATTGTTTCTGGTTCACATTTGCAGCTTTAAAAATTCTTGGATAGTGTCAAATAGTAGATCTGTGGAAAGAACCAATCTGTTTTGAAAGACCTTTCTGATGATAGTTTGAGGGCATGAGGTTGTTTATATGGTGTTTTTTAGTTTGTTTCTTTTTCTGAATCTGTGATTCTTCTGCTCAGTTCTGGCCATGCATGAAAATGTGCTGAAGTGTCCGACTCCTGGCTGCACTGGTCAGGGCCACGTAAACAGCAACCGCAACACACACCGCAGGTATCCCGTCTGAGCCGTTGCTAATCTGTGTCGTTTATGAGCGTTTCTGCCGGACGGGCTTTTGCACAGCATTCGCATTTCCCTTTGAGGATTTGCAAGCGCATGCATGCAGGACAGCAAATGTGTCAGCCCGCATCAGTGTGATGTCGATTTGCGTTGTCAGCGGCTCGGCGTTGTTTTTAAAATTCATCGGCTTTTCTGCTCCTCCGTCCTCCCAGTCTCTCCGGATGCCCGATCGCTGCTGCTGAGAAGCTTTCTAAGACCCACGACAAGCAACACCTCGCTCAGCCGGGCAGCGAGATCCTCAAAGGAAGCCCCAACGACAGGGTGCTGAGGTGGGTGGAGACTGTAAGGTCCAAACTGGCAGGTGCAATTTATGGATCTTGAAAAATTCAAGATCCATAAATCTTGAATAAGTGAGCTGTACCTTCCTGTACCAAGTATTCACTGTGACATGCAATGGTACAGACATCAGTCCTGCAATCCCATGGAGAATGAAGGTGATCTTCTTTTACACAATAAGAATGAGCACATTGTTTTTTTTTTTTGTTTTTTTTTTACATTTCATGTTGTTTTGTTACCTTGATTTTGATATTCAAATATTGCTCCAGTAGATGGCTACAGACCTTTGCATCATCTCTCTATTTAGACGGGTTGTTTTCTTTTGGCTGCCTCTGTTTCTGTCTGGGCTATTTTCTGCATTAATAATTGAAAAGTAACCTACATTTTGTCTTTTCCTTTCTCTTGTACTAAATACATACCAAACCACAAGCCCCAAACTGAGCCACTTACTAAACTGTGATCTAGGTGTCTTGTTAAACTCCTATTAAAATGCAACCCCTCTTTTTTTATTGCTTTAGCAGTTTGCCACCCTGTATTCCTGCTCCAATCCGATTTAGCTTCATATGAACTAAATCTGTAGATTAATTCCCTTAAATAAATTTATTTATGGGAATTTTACTTGATGATGTTTCATCAAAAGACTGAAACCCTTTAGGAAAGTGTCACTGTGGACAGTGATGCAGTGGGCAGGAAGGGTCTCCAATAGCAGTCTGTGTTGCAACAAAACTGAAGAGGTCTCTGACTGAAGACTGTTTTTGTAATCACATGCTAACAGTTAGCTTCTCAAGCGGTAGAGATAATATTCCACACAGTGACATGTTTTGTATGACTTAGTTGCTAACAAGCACTGCTAATCCATATCATTTGCTTTTGCAGCTCCTCTTTAAATCTCTCTCCAGCTGTTTGGTTAGAAAGCCAAATACAATATGGCTTTCTGAATTAAATGTGACAAGGAAATACATTAATTTTATTTGAATTTCCTTTGGTAAGTAGCTGTCGGTCTGAAGAGCTAAAGGCAGACTGGTGGTGGCTTCTCTCATGAGTCGCTGCTCCTCTGACGACCTGCAGAGACGGCTCAGTTTTGATAAAGTCCCACAGACTGATCTATTCGTCACTTTAAGGTCTCTATATCTTCAGTCATCTCTCCAAGCCAGCCAGGCACCACGATCACAGCAGAAAGAATGATAATTAAAACCAACCAGATACCGGCATTATGCTAAGTCCATGCTCTCCCACACTGGTATTTTAATTAATAATGCAGTTGATATGCTAATTATGAAAGTTATAGGGGCATTGCAGGAGGATGGGAAAAATAATTGCTTTCCTAGAGGAAAACCTCACTAGACGGACAAAGCGTTGGATTAAAACATAATAAGGCTCCCTTTGTTTTCCTTCTGCAGATTGTTATGGAAATGAGCCTGCTTGTCTGTTATGTGTACGCTGGATTCCTGGTGTAGTCCTCATTCTAATGGCATTCATGTTGATTTGATACAAAGACAAAAGGAAATCCTCTGTGATCGCTGATAGAAAGTATTTTTTTCCCCTGTTATGAGGGTCCTCCTTCACACTGCAGGCCAGGTCATGGAGCTTATTAACAAGCATATGGTTGGAGACCAAAGATTGGGAATTCTGTGGTCATATCGCAGTTGCAGAGCAAAATAACAAGAGGAGAAGAAAAGAGGAGTGCTCTCTCTTTTTTTTGTTCTTTTTTCCTTCTCCCTCACTCCCTGGTCTATCAATGGATTTACGCCAACAGGTTTGACAAAAGCCCGGGCTCTCCAGGAAAACGAGAGGGCTTAAGGCTCATAAATTCCATGCTGTACAACATGCAAATGTGCCCTCTGCTGATAAGAGAGCTTTTAATCCTGCTGCACTCCTGCTAAGTACACCGGTGCTCCTATCTTTGCTCGTTCTATTTCATTCTACTTTCATTCACCCATTCTTGTTCTCTTTTATACAATCGCTTTGTTTTTCTGTCTCCTTTTCTCATCAATTCTGTTCTTTTTATTTTTTTGTCTTCATTCCGGCGTAAATCATGTTTAATCTGTCTCTCTGATGTCCTGCTCCTTCCTCCCCTCCCTTCCCCTCTGCAGGCCCATGTGCTTTGTGAAGCAGCTGGAGGTGCCCCAGTATGGCAACTACAGGCCCAACATGGCCCCCTCGACGCCACGCGCCAACCTGGCCAAGGAGCTGGAGAAGTACTCCAAGGTCTCCTTCGATTATGCAAGCTTCGATGCCCAAGTGTTCGGAAAGCGCACGCTTGCTCCAAAGATGACCACCAGCGAAACTTCACCCAAAGCCTTCAAAAGTAAGACTGGATTCTTTTCTTGGGTTTGGATCACTGTCTTCAATCTCCAGCGGTCGTCTGGCATGAGCTATAAACTGTGACAGCTATAGCAGTTAAGAGGACTGGCCAAAATTCAGCCGAGTTGCAGTGATTGGTGAGGAAAGAAGAAAAAACAGATTGGTGATTGGTCAGATTCATGGAGAAGTTCCAATGACTAATGAGCTAAATGTGGAAATGATGAGGGAATTTGTGTTACGGTTGCGATTGCAATATCACAACTTCCTGGAGGGACAAATTATTGTTACAATTATTGTTAAATTTTGGAAAAGTTTATGAAGGTATTTTATATGGAGCAATTATTCTGCCATTATCCAGGAGCACACATTTTCAGTCTGAAAGCAGGATTTTATGTCTTTTGTTCTCAAAACTTTGAATTGTTTTGCTTACATTTTAATTTTGAAAGCAGGACTTCATGTCTTTCTTCTCAAAACTTGCAATGCTTGTACTCAAAACTTCTCACACTCTGACTCTGCTCGCTTGCAAAACATAGTACTGCCTCTTTACACAGTCGCCTGGCAACCCCTCTGCCAATAAGATGAGTACAATCATTTCAAGTTTTGAGAAAATATGAAATCCTGCTTTCAAAATAAAAATGTAAGCTATAGTATTTAAAGGGTTTTAAGAACAAAAGGCATGAAATCCTGTTTTCAGACTAAAAAAAAAAGTTTGCTCTTGCATTATGGCAGAAAAATTCCTCCATAATTGTCTTGTTTCTAAACTGCTCTCAGGACTAAAACGTCCACCATGGGATTTGTTTGGGATTCAGAATTTTATTCTCTTTTCTCATTCCCATCTCTTCTCTTGCAGCCAAGCCCTCGTTCCCCAAGTCGTCCTCTCCCACCCTGAGCCTCCACGCTTACGGGAAGAGCGCCACCCTCCCCTACGACTACTCCCACGATGCCGAAGCTGCTCACATGGCCGCCACCGCCATCCTCAACCTGTCCACTCGCTGCTGGGAGAAACCCGAGAACCTCAGCATCAAACCGCAAACCAAGGTTTGCGCTCTCTGCAACAATCCCAGATCCATGTCCCATTCTCCATCTTGGAGAATCATTAAGCAAAGCAGAAAATGAAGATGATAAAGTGATGAGTGATAAACATGTGCCCTCATCAGTTCTCTAAGCTTATTTAAACATTTCAAGTGCTGCCCTGGTCTTCTTTCTAGTGCATTTGCAGAAGGATCATTAGCTGACTGCAGTTCAGATGAAACATTTCAGGCCGCAGCTGGTGAGATTGGAAGGGATAACAGTGGGTGTGCCCTTCCCTCTCCATCATTTTTTTTCTTCCCCCATCATCTCCCCATGAATATATCATCAGGAGGCATTGGCTTACAGCAACAGGACGGTGTTGAGATTCAGTTGCATCACCTCTCTTATCCTCTTTCATCGTTTCATCCCTCCATCCCACACACTTTTCATGTTGTTATTGAATTTGGCTGACTGCCAGTTCCCTGGATTACTTTTCCACCAGGTAGCCTTTTTTCATTATCTGCTGGACGGATCTCCCACTCTGCTTCTCCACCCCCGTCACTCTTTCTTTAATTTTCTCTTAGCATCCATTTTTTTTATTCCGCTTTATCTCCATCATTTTTCTCCCAAGCCGAGGTGTTCGGTTTTCCATGTGTGCCCATGCGTCTTTATTTTATTTTATTTTTTCTGCTACACTTTTTCCTCTCTTTGCAACAGGAAACATTATTGCTACAATATCGCTTTCTCCCATATTGTGATTTTGGATGGCGTTTCTGTTTCGCTGAGGAGAGAAAGTGACTGCTTCATCATTTTTGTGGTTTCTTCGCATGGTTTCAGGGTGATAAAAGAGAAAATCTGTGTTTCTGGCATCAAAGCAAACCAAGGTGTTATTCAGCAAGGCTGTTTTCCAAGAGCAGGCTTAGCAAATCAGCTGGGAGCTGATCTGGAATCAGAGTTGGAGTCAGTTGAAATCCAATACTAAAGCACCGGAACAGTGTGCTCGTCAACCCGGGACGTCTCTGGGAACTGCTCCAGCTAGCTTCCTTCCTCTCACAATGCTTTGATATTTTTAGATCTTGACCAGGCTATATGAGCAGCATTTTACATGAAAACACAACCCGGTTGACCCCTGTGCTTCTGTTCACCTGCCAGCGCTAAAATGAAGTGTGGAGTTTTCAAGCACCGTGTCAGCGCTACTGGCACCGGAATACCTCGGATAGCCGAGTCGGCATTCTTAAGCTGTGGAATCGATAGGACAAAGTGCATAACACTGCTTCAGGACTAAATAAGAGCTTTTTTAGGAGCAGGTTGAAAGACGACATTTAGAGAAGATGCACAGACACAAAAGCTAAGACTGATGAATTTATTATTTTACTAACCATTTTTTATTTTATTTTTTTTGTCTATCTTTTTTGAGCTGTATTTTAAAATGGTTAGCTGACTCTAGTACCATGTTTGGCTAATACATCCCAAAAGGACAGGAAGAGGATTACGCCTGGCGTTATTGATTATCTTCTGATTCTAAAGTACTTCAATGAACAACTTAAATGTAGGATATTTTTTCATACTCTCTGGATAAATTTGAAATGGAGCCATGTTAGTAATGAAATGACTACAGTAGCAGAGCTCAAATCTGCACAGACGTCTCCCTGCATCACTGGAAATCTACAAATGCAGTGAAATCCTCCAGGCTGTTGAACAGAAACGTGTGTAGATGAAGAACAGCTACAAGAACGACAGCATGTTTCAGCTAATATTTTATGACACACATAATAGCTGAATGACTTTTGCATTTTCCTTTTTAGGCATATAAAAATGTAGAAGTGCTCTACTGCATCATGAGATATTTCTTTCTTTTTCATTGTTTTGACTGGAAAAAGTTCTGATTTTCAATTACGGGTTAGGCATTTAAATCAATCATGAATGTTTTACTATGACAGGCCCATGCGATCTGGTCACCTCCCAGTTTTGCTTGCCTTTCTAATAATAACAGGAAATATCGCCCTGCAGCACTTAAGTAAAGACAAAAAAAAAAGTCTGACTGTTTTGTATTTGTTTTGACTGGTTTGTTCATTCAGCCGTGCTTCTCTGCTTTCCACTCAGGAAATGGACATTGAGGTGGATGAGAACGGCACGTTGGACCTGAGCATGAAGAAGCCTATAAAACGGGAGGGCAGCGTGTCCGGCACCAGCCCCGGGGTCCGCTCCCCGGATCCGTCTTCGTCCTCCTCCTCTTCGTTCCATCACAGCGGAAACAGTGAAATGACGTCTCCGAACCTTCATACGTACAAGCAGGAAGACTGGGAGGGACCTCTGGATTTCACCAAACCCAATCGCCAGAGGGAGGAGGAAACAGACGAGGTCAGTGCAATTAAACGGCCGCTTTCAATTACCCTGCGTTTCCTGCTGCATTCGTCACAGAGGAGCTATTGCGGCATAAATAACAATAGACGAAATGGCCCTCAAGCCTTTTGAATGAAAACTTCTTGTTTACATCACTTGCTTTGTCTAATCGCCTTTTCTTATTTCCTGTCCCGGTTCTCCTCTTTCTATTATTCATTTATTTCAGTGAAATGCAAGAGTTACCACGAGGTTAAAACATTGCACTGCGTAGCAGAGGTGGTGTGTCAGGTGCATTGCACCATCCAGGATTTGGCATATGCTAATTTTCACTGCTTTGAACTTTTTCAAAAGAAATATAAAGGGACTTGGATGTTAATTTTTTATGAGGGCACTTTGCATTTGGAAACATTGAGTCTACAAAAGAATAAAAGGGGGCCTTGTGTGTTTGGAGTTTTTCAAAGTTTTTCTTTTTTATGTTTTCTTTTCTTTTTTTTTTTTTTTGCTTGTTTACAGCTAAGCAAAGTGATTTATGGAAACAGTCATCAGAGATTGAGTTAATCTGTGGCATCTGTTGGTGGTATGTCTTTTTTTAGATGGAGCACACAGGTCAGTCGTACGTCTCGTCTGACCCTGAGGACTGTGACATGATGCAGGACTGTCTGGAGGACAGGAAGTACCCTGGAGAGGTTACGACCCCCAGCTTCAAAGTCAAGTTTCAGCCCAAGGACGCCAAGAAAGAGCTGCTCTCGTGAGTAACCGTTGCACTAATAGTTCAACAGGCTCGTTATGTGAATTTTGCATGACATCCTAGCACTCCAAAGAGCATCTGTGCACAATTCAATTAAAATTTGCTTTCGGGGGCTTCATGCTGTTTCAACTTATCACATCTGCGTTTAGCATCATTTTCTCGATTTAATCCCCAAAACTTTTACTCTACATTTGTGAGTCGGAATAGTTGAAAATCTGGCCGTGCTCTCACAAAATTGGAGGCTCATGAGAAATAGGATAACAGCAAAAATGTATTATCTCTCGATCCATAATCGCATACATTTAGAACCTTCAAGCTCAGATCGATTGGCACTAAATTGCCACAACTGATTCACAGCTGCTGCCAGTAATAAGCACAAAACACTTTTATGGATGCAGAGGATCTCCTCTGTCAAAGCAGACACCTCTGCTCAGCGCCGTACGGCAGGAGAATCATGCCAAACAAACACCTTCACTGTTTATTTCATGAAGATAAGTTTTTTTTCTCCCTGTTGAAAAGAGTCAGAAAATTTATTTTACAAATAAGGAATAAAACTCAAATTGTAATAAGATGTCTGACCTCATAAGCAGCATGTGCCTTTCATTGGTCGCTGCAGAGAGAAAGAAGCTCAGCTTGCTAGCAAGTCTGGCTAAAGCATTAGCACGAGGCTATGCTAGTTATGATGACTCAGAGCAACTGAGCAAAATCCTCAATTAATATATAAAGGCAATTTCCACCATTCAATAGAAATGCAGCATTAATGCACATTACATTTCAAACTTATATACATGATTAAATGTTTTATTATTTTAATCAGAGATGTACCAATTGAAGTTTTCTGGCAGATCAATGATTGTGCTTTATTATGATTTTGGCTGATGTCGATTTTGTTTGGTCTGAAAAGCATAGCAACAAGGTTGCTAAGTTGGCAACTCCAGTGGGCCGTCTTAGCGGTCGCTCAGTCCTCTCTCATGGCAGAGCAAAAGGGGACAGTGGCTGATTTTCATACGTTTGTGGATGTAGATCAGAGAGGTGGATAATATTGGATGGTCAGATCGATTTCGCATGCAAGTATCAGCCGATTGCCAAGGAAATCGGGGCTGATTTATCGGCCGGTTGACGTATCAGTGCTCCACAAATTATTTTTTTTCTAGATCCAATAATAGAAGTCATTTCTCTAAATTATTTTGGGAACTACTTCATAAAAACTGTGAGATTTACATGCATTAAGGGCAGCTTCTTTGTCTCCTCCAGGAACCTCTGCTCTCTTCTTCTTCTTGTGCTCGTCTGTTCTAACTCTCGGCCTCCCTTTTCTCCTCCTTGCACTTCTGTCCTTCTCTCTGCAGGTGCCCCACACCCGGCTGCGATGGCAGCGGCCACATAACAGGGAACTACGCATCCCACCGCAGGTATGTTCAGTCTGAAGCCCGAGTGTAGCTCCTGCTCTGTTAGACCTGCCAGAGTGAGCCCTAAAGCAAAGACTGTCAATGATTTTAATACTTATCAGTGATTTACTCCTCTCTGTCTGCCCTCTTACTCCTAAATGACCTTGGTAAGCCTTGCCTTCTGGATTTCCCTTCACTCACGTCTTTCTCCCCTTTCGCTTCCCTCGTCCTCTCCTTCGCTCTTTCTCCTCTCTTCTCTCAGTCTGTCTGGGTGTCCTCTCGCTGATAAGAGCCTTCGGTCCCTCATGGCGGCCCACACTCCTGAACTCAAGTATGTCTGCTCTTCACCTTCGTTTTTCACTGTCGTTTCGGCGCACCGCTGCTGACACCGTCCGGCGCTGCAGCGCTGCACTCTGCTGATGTTAGCTCAACCGCTGTCTCTGCTGCTGCTGCGTCTGTCATTGTGTTTCCTTCTGCAGATTGGTCTCTGCACGCTTTGACATCACTCAGCTCATGTGAATAAGTACCAAAAATAAAAAATAAAGAAGCAGCGTCAAAAATGCCTGAATTATTTTACATATACTTACATATGAAGCAGATCTTATTCTACCTCGGCAAAGGTCTAAAAATCAACCACCACTGCTCTGCTGTGAGAGAAGTTTGACTGTCGGCCCCGCCCACCGGGTCATGTCTGCATGTGCATCAATGTTAAAAGCACTTCAAAGTGATTTCATTAAGAAGTGCTAATTGAATGAAGATATATCGAATTATCAATATTTTTTAACAGTTTGCTGACAGGTACTTTTATCAACACGTTCTGCCCTTTGAGGTCATTCACAAGCTTGACATGGGCCGAGATGAGCATGAGTTTGACGGAGCATTTTCGTGTCTTCAAACAGCCTAGTCAAAGTTTGTGACAAAATCTATTAGAGAATTGGTAGCAAGACTTGTTACTGCTTCGCTATTCACAAAGGCTTTCCATTCGATCTGACTGAATTTGAGTCTCGTCCAAAGAAAAGTGGACAAAAAGTGTGAGTCTCTAAATGAGCCAGTGTGGTAGAAACACAACCCAAACGACGGTTCCTGCTGCCTTTTTTTCAACATATGGATTCTTTGTCTTCCACTTTGCGCTTGTCTATCACAAAATCTCAATAAATGACTTCAGAATGAGTGACTGCGAAGCGATAAAAACCCGAAACACATTTGCAGGGCGCAGTAACAAGCCATCTTGTCTCTTTTGTTCTGTTTTTGTTCCTTTCTAAATATGAAACTCTTCCCGTCCCCAGATGCCCCACGCCAGGATGCGACGGTTCGGGTCACATCACAGGAAACTACGCCTCTCACCGAAGGTAACCAGCACACCGAGCAAAGACCTCCTTCAACAAAACACACAACCAGTCAGTCAATCAGTCAGTCAGTCAGTCAGAGAGGCCTAGTGACAGCTCATGGTAGAGTTAGACAGGAACCACATCCACATTTCCTCACCTTTCAGGCGTTTTTGATTTGACTTTCTTTTTCGTTTGGTTGGACCTCTATTTTTTTTTTTTAAAGAATATCCTTCCTTCTCATGTTTTGTCCCTTTATGCAACAGTCACCTTACCGTAACGTTTTCAACCCTCTGTTATCAACTCCATACTTTCTGTTTTCAGTCTCTCTGGGTGCCCGCGTGCCAAGAAAAGTGGAATTAAAACTCCTACCAAGGACAACCAGGAGGACTCGGAGCTTTTAAAGTTCGTACCGCTCAGAAAGCCATAACGTCTGCTTTTAGCATGACTGACGGTAAAGAGTAAAATGCAATAAAGGACAGAGAGACAGAGAAGCACAGAGAGGACAGTCACTGTGAGTCTTATGTGGAGGTGCTGACCTTGGCCTTTAGTTGAACCAAACTGTAGTCGCCCTCACTGATGAAGCTCTCCAGCTGCAAACACTGACTCTTATTCTTAGAGTGATGTAGAGCACAGTGCATGGAGGATACATGTTGCAGTTCCACATAAAACATTAAACCTGATAACATGTACTAGTAATAATACAACAGCAAGAATACATAAAAAAAACATTACCTAAAAAATTGAAAGTGCATATCTGTTAAATAATCTCCAAAATAACTTTTTTTGGAGTATTTTTGAGTACTAATCTCCTAAACACTTCTTCTTCTCTCTCCATCTCTCTCTGTCCGACGTCTTTCCGTCACTCCCAGCAGATGCCCCGTGCCGGGCTGCGACAGCCTGGGCCACATCAGCGGCAAGTACGCCACGCACCGCAGCGCCTACGGCTGCCCGCTGGCCGCCCGCAGGCAGAAGGAGGGCCTGCTGAACGGGATGCCCTTCAACTGGAAGGCTTTCAAGACAGAGGGTCCCACCTGCCCAACCCCCGGCTGTGACGGCTCCGGACATGCCAACGGCAGCTTCCTCACACATCGCAGGTGAGGTGCACACAGACGAGCCGAGCTGTTTCATGGTACGACTGGAGCTTAGCTTTGTTTCTCTAGCTGGACTCTCTTAAAGGGGCAGTGTTATGTAATCAAAAAACAAATTTCGAGTGTTGCTTTGATTCTTTCATGCATGCTTAAGAAATCCATGACTCCCCCACTCAGCTCCTTCAGACTAGCCAGCAGCAATTAGCAAAGACCTGGTGAAACTGCTAATCTGCTGAATTCTTTATAGGAGCTGCTTCTCAGTGCAATGCTGGTAAAAACATTGTTAAAGAGGTAATAGAGGAGCCATGTTGTGAGGACTTCATAAAGGCAGAGTTTCAGAAAGAGCAGGAGTTTTTAAAGGGACAGAGGCCTGATTTGAAAATGTTAAATTAGCGGACTGCTTCCAGTGTCGTTGACTTTACAACAATCCCAGATACCTGGAAGAAACATGCAGCAGAACTTGACTCAGTACAACCAGCCATCTGAAAAGAGAGAGCAGACAGAAAAAGTGGTTGGTTTGTCCTCCAGTAGCCTAAACCTGCATAAGCATAACTGTAGAGATAACTCAGGATAACCTATCCAGTCTAACTATAAGCTTTATGAAAAAGCAAAGTTTTAAACCGAGTCTAGAAAGCAGACAGATGTCTTTATTACTCGTTACTTGATAGGTCAGCTAACGGCCCCCCCATCCCCCCTCTCTCTCTCCCCAGCCTCTCAGGATGTCCCAGAGCCTTGTATGCCAAGAAGAAGGCCAAGTTCCCCTCTGAGGAATATATGAGCACCAAGTTCAGAGCCACTGACGGTATGATGTTTGGACTTAACACCCTAATGGCTTTATGTTACAAAGGAGGAATTACTGAGAAAACCACAGAACAATACATTACATGGTGTACGATATCTACGTTTGTAGTTGAGTGAATTGAGGGGAGAAGGTTGCTTATATTCAGGTTTTCCTCTTTCTCTGACATGTTTGCGCTTCTGTCTTAGTTCTGGACAACGATGAGGAGATCAAGCAGCTGAACAGAGAGATAAACGACCTCAACGAGTCTAACAACGAAATGGAGGCTGACATGGTCAACCTGCAAACTCAGGTGGGAGTCACTGTAACGCAGGTGGTTTCTGGTATATATAATGCATAACATCATTTGTAGGTAATCTTATATACATGTTGAAATAGAGCCATCAGTATATTTAAATTGAAAGAAAAGCAGCAAATCTGAGCACTGCAACTCAATGCACAGTAACAAGACAATTCAAAACTGTTTCTGATGAAAGGCTATTATTTATTTCAGAGGAACTTCGGGTTGACAAAAACAATCAGACACTGCAACGACACAAAATATTACCAAATATTTTTGGCCGAGTTTCTCATGCAAATATCTTCGTCCACTTGAAATAAGACAAAACTAACTTACAAGTAAACCAAAGAGGAAGGGGAGTACATGTTTTTCATAGGGTTTGGTTTGACATAGAGCTGTGTGAAAGTGAACTACAGCAGCTGAAAATGGAACAAATGTAATTTCGGTCTCCAATCGAACCGAGTCTACCAGACTACCAGGTGTGAAAACCCCCTCAGTTTACAAATCAAGTATTGACGTGTGCACAGCTGTACACGGCAATTTTCTCTCCATATATTTACGCTTGCTGTGGCTCAGACTGGATCTGACTGTATGGACATTACTCCAATGTGAACAGGGTCTCCGATAAAAACAACTTTCTTAAGTGAAAGGTTTTGTCATTTGAAAATGTCACTTTGTGTTGCAGATCTCTTCCATGGAAAAAAACCTAAAAAGCATTGAGCACGAGAACAAGATGATCGAAGAGCAGAACGAGGCCCTCTTCATGGAGCTGTCCGGTCTGAGCCGGGCCCTCATCCGCAGCCTGGCTAACATCCGCCTGCCGCACATGGTGAGGCTTCCCACGTCACAGGCTGTGTTTCCATTACACATGTGCACAAATCTCTGTCTAGATTCTGCTAATGCCAAAGAAACACAACTTTGCGATTGCTGGGTTTACCATTAAATAAGAAATTATATTAAAATCACAAATAATATAATTTGTGATTTTAAGCTGTCCAATGTCCTGTAGCATTGGACAGCTTTCAATGACTCATGGATAAGTCATTGAAAATCATGAGTGTGAGCAGTTCTATTAACAGCTCATCATCTATCAACCGTCACCAGAGAGGTCTGTGTTTTATTCAGGCATTGAAGCAAAAAGCCCCGCCAACTTGAGAGCAGCTATGCGTGTGGCATTTTGGGGAAATCATACTCGGCGATTTTACAGAAGTGCTATGGATTCAACAAGTTGGAATGACACAAATGTTTTGATGAACTCTGTGATGCCACTAGAGATCTGGCAGAGCCAGCTGCATGTTGTCTGAAAAAAAAAAAAAACATACCATCATCCTCCTACTACTTCCTGTTGTCTTCTTCAGCGTTTTCACCAGTAGTAACATCCAGCAGTAACATCAGATGGCTCATGTGGTGTGAAAAAGGTGTTTCCATTGCAACACTATCAAAATATGTCTATTTTGAATAGAACCGTTCCACTTATCTCACTTGTTTATCTCACTTATCTCAATCTATCTTGCACGGCAGCAGGAGCCAATCACCGAGCAGAACTTTGACAACTACGTCAGCACCCTGACCGACATGTACACCAACAAGGAGTGCTTCCAGAGCCCGGAAAACAAGGCCTTACTGGAAAGTATCAACAAGGCTGTGAAGGGCATCAAAGTGTGAGGCTCGGCGCACGGCACAGGAGGGAATCTGAAACGGCTGCTGAAGCTGGAGAGCTGGATGCAGGGGGGATGGGAGGCGGGGAGAGTTGGGAAGATGCTGAAATGCTCAACGATATATTCAGATATGATTCAAAAGCAAAAAGGGAATTCAGGTTACTTAAATAAACGGCAAATTTTCAAATAAAATCAACCCAGGGAGCACCTCTGTTGAAGAAAAAGCGACCAAAATCCACACCATGCTGCTTCTGAGATTCAGAGGAAACATTCAAGTCAGAGTGTTTGGAAAAGCAGGAATAATGTTTGTAGGAACTAGATCTGAGGGGCTTTGACGTGCTGTACGTTTACCTGCTGAGTCTGCACCGGAGCGAGGAGGCGGGATCTGCTTCCGGACGACGTGACTTTCGCCGCTGTCCTGTAGCATTGGCTGGGGGACGGAGGAGACACAGAAACGCTCACCAGCTGTGTGAGCCACATCCACTCACACACACACACGCTTCACACACACATCCCAGCGAAATGAGACACACGCTCACCTGAATGTGTGTGTCTGCAGCGGTGAGGCAGATCTCAGAGCAGTCTGGATACTCAGCAGACCAAACCCTCCTTGTCTTTTTTACTGGAATGATGATAGAAGTAGTGTGCGCACATCTCAGCTTTGGTTAGTCATATCAATAGTATTTATCAACATAGGAATTGCACTTCATTTCAATGAATAGTTTTGTGGTACGATAATTATTGTTATATATGAATTATTTAAACTTGTGAACTTTTAAATTGTAACTTATTGCCCTTTATGTTATTGAGGTTTATTTATTTAAAGCAATCTATTTATTAATAACTTTGTTTTGTAAAACAAACAAAAAAAAATGCAACTTCACTGATAACCAATCTGCAGATGTCTTAAGAATCTATAAGGACAGACGAGGCGTTTTATTTCTTTTGTTTTGTTTTGTTTGCTTTTTTTTTACGTGCAGATGTTTTATAAGGAATTGAAATTCTTTTGATAATTTTACAAGAAATTAAGTTTTTTGTTTTTGTCTTTTTTTTCTTGTTTTCCTCCGTTTTGTTTGTGCTTTTTTCTGTTACTGCCACAAAACCCCCCCAAGGCCGAGAGGGAAAGAAGAAAAAGAAAAATGACGTATTTATTATTTATTTAATGAGAAAGTCGACTGATGTGTATTTATTTTGTTCCTTATTTATGTGCGTGTTGTGACGGTTGAGTCTGAGTAGTTAAAAAAACGATTTAAAAAAAAAATCCACTGCTAATACTTAAATAAAGAAACGACATTAATACCAGTACTGTTTGATTGCTTAGGCGTGTACTTAGACAAACCAGCAGCTGATTGTAAACCCAACAGAAGCACTCACTTCTCTGTTACTGTCACGTTTCTGTGTTTTAATTTGCTTTCTGTGAAGAGAAAAAAAAAATGTTTAAAAAGAAAAAAAAAAGTCTTTTGTACCTCTCCCAAGCTCTTTGTAGCGGCCAGCACTGGCTCACCCAGAACCTCTACGATGCACCGAGGCTGCTTGGCGAATTATTCTCTGATCGTCCGTAACAATATTCCACACAGAGCGCTTTTCCGGCCGTGTTTCAGCCTGGATGCATGATGATTCCCAAAATACACTGCGACATATCCAAACCCTGGAGGATACAATAAGGTCCTTTCTATCTTTGACTAACTTCAAACATACACACCCTTGTAGCCTTACTCTAGATTTTAATTTTTTTTTTTCGATGCACAAAGTGCCACTGATTAAAAAGAAAAGAAAAAGAGCAAAAAAAAACATTTAAAAAAAGAAAGGAGAGCTTACTTTTTTCCTGATTCTCTGCATCTCTGCAATGTAAGAATGTCTGGTTGCCCGGGACGACCACGGCATCGAGAGAGAACGCGGATTGTTTCAAAATGCCTTTATTTCTCTGCCAAGATGGCCATAAGTACACTATATATACATTCTGTACAAATAGATTTTAAAGATGCTATATATATGAATATAAACATACATATATTTTTCCAGTGTAATTGTTGACTTCTTCTTCTCTTGTATTATCAGAAGCTGTTCAGGCAAGACGTTAAGGGTGCGTCATTGTGAGGAGGCGGTTGCTCCTTCTTTAATATCACTTAGACCTGCTCAACTGTGGCTTTAAACATTCAGTCAAGCTGAAGTCATTGGTGGTTGTGGAACAGTACTTTTGGATCCCGTCGGTTTCCGTTCCCTCTTTCCCTCCCCATCCCGTTTTGTTCTTTTCTCCTTCTTTTCGTCCACCTGTCTTGTCTTTGGCCTGAAGGTGTGCTAAACATCAGCTGCATGTTTACGGCTGAACCCGAATCCTACGTGTCAGTGTGAGTTCATGTACAGTGAAAAAAAGACGATGCCTCTAAATAATGTTCTGCACATTGTGTTCAGCGACGTTGTGCAGTTTCTGAGTATTCTTCTTCTTCTTGTGTGTTGTTCATGGTAAAGGCCTGCTCGCTCCGAGCTCTTTCATGTTGAAACAAACCAGTAGGAGACGCTAGTGTGACCTGCCTTTGGGGTGAAACTATTCCCATGTGTAACCCTGATGTCCAAGGCATGTTGTAAATGTGCTCTTAGCCAGCGTAGAATGTGCACTTTCTGAATAACTCGTCGAGGATGCCAGCAGTTGAAGTCGGACAGATCTGAGATCAGGAAATTTCCTGTGTTTTCTCTTAAGAGTTTCATGAAATGATTATTATTACTTCTTATGTTCTCGCGGCCTTTGTTTAACAGTGGTCAGACAAGAAAAGCGCGTTGGGAGAGAAGACATGCGGCAACACGCCGAGACTCGAATCTGCAACGGCCGTAAGAACTAAAGGTCTCTGAATATGGGTCGTGCGTTCAACCCCTGTGCCATCGCCGCACCCCCGAGTTTCATGAAATTAAAGGATGTTCTTTTGTCAAATTCTGGGAAACCAAAAGAGAGATTGACGGGAAGGAGTTGCTTGGTTCTGAGGTGACCTGCGGCAGAGCGGAGCATAGCCACAGGTCAGGCAGTCAGCTGAGGCTAGAGGCGATAGCAGCGGCTGGATCAAGGCCTCGTGTGGAATGAGACGAGCGCGTGGGAGTGGAAAATTGATTTTGCCGGGCTGCACAACCTCCCCTTTTGTTGTCGGAGGAGGCGTTTGTTGCATAAATATGTGGACGTCACTCAAGAGAATGTTAAAGCATTTCCTGACTTTTTAGCCCTCCTCCCAACTCCCGCTCCCACCCCCCGGTCGCTCCAGCCCCTCTTTACCCCCTCCCGGGTCTTCTTTGCGTCTTTCCTCAAGAAAGACTCCTTGGATGCATTTGGTTAACAAAGTAGCGTATTTTTTCTCTTGAAATGCACAAGATTTCTACCCCGAGAGTGTTAAGACTGTGAATATTCTCCTAACCTATTTGATATGGCATGACCCCTTTTAAACTGCTTGATGAAATTGTCTACTGAGGTATGTAAATGAAGAACACTGAGGCCATGAAAGCAGAGCGTTTAAAAAAAAAATAATTCAAAAAAAGAGAAAAAGTCAGCTAAGAAAGCGAACTCAGCCCACGGTCGGTCCTGCACCCACGCACTGTATGTTTTCCTATTTACATAGAAGTACCGAGTGATGGAGTCAGTTTTTTTGTTCTGAACCGAAAAAGAGCATTTAACAAGATGGGGCTCAGTTTTTCCCCCCACCTTCCCCCCTCTCTCAATTTTATTTGATGTGACGACACTTTTCAGGGAATTCAGTCAACACCAAAATCCAAATGTGAGTGTGAAGGGGAGATATATAAGGAGAGACAGAGAGAGTAAGAGAGAGAGAGAGAAAAAAAAAACAACAACTGAGTGGCACTTTTTCATCAGGCTGTCCAAAATATAACAAAACCAAAAGTCACCTCCCCAGCCGTAGTTCTCAGATATGTGTGGTCTTATCATGTGTGCCTTTCTCCCTCCACTCATGTCAACATATGGTATGTTTACACCCGTTCAATTACTGCTGAAAATCCTCGGTCCTGATCCAGATGTCTGACTTTCAGGGAGAAATGGGTGGGGATGGGTTAACGGTTTTACTCTGTGGAATAAAGCGTGTCTTCTTCTGTCGCGCTGCAGACAGACAGAGAGCACTCTGAGGACCAGGGGAAAACTCAAAGCTTTTGTCTCTCTGAAGAAACTGTGATCTCATTCTGTCGATTCAGGTACCAAAAAAACTGCACGGACAGTTTCTGTGAAGGGATCTGAAGCTCGGCAGTCATCTCTAGATAATGCATCAGAGTGCAGGGCATTATTTTGACAATAAGTGGAAAAAGTTTCTGTACATATTTGTATCCAGACAAAAAAAACAAACAAACAAAAAAAAAAACAGTGTTATGTGTTGTTGTATCGAAGTTGAAAATGGTTTCAAAATTCATAACAATTCTGAAAATGAAGAATAGTTTGTGACAAAAAAAAAAAACAAAACAGCGAAAACTCCACAGCCAAGGGTTGTCCTGCTAGCACATTTTTACAGAGATGAGCTATTTTTACTGGTGATTTTCTAGACACTGATGTTGAAATCCTTTAAAAAAAAAAATAGTACAAAACTTCCAGAAGTACAAGCACTTCCATTACTATAGAATGTGTGATCATTTTAGTTACTTTTGTAGACGTGGTTGTTCCTTTGCTACTTCACCATTTTGTAAAGTGGGACAGGCCTTGGCTGTGTGTTCTTAGGGATTCATGTTTTTGTTTCACAATTTTTCTTTTTTTTTGGGGGGGGGAGGGGGTGTGTGGTGTGTAGTGGGGAGGGGGGGAGGTTATAACACTGTAGATTGGCCAAGTTTGTGGATGTGTGTTTGTGTACTTGTAAACATGTTCCCTGTTTCTGTGTCAGTGTTATAAAGCAGAGAATTGACGTCAGTTATTGTGAGGGTATGAACCATTTTAAATGTTCTCTATAAAAAAAAAAAAAAAATAAAGACTCATAGAACAGAGTTGTGTTTCTGTCTGATTCATATATCTATGTACTTTAAATGTATAGACTCTTCTGTGCACATAAACAAGCTTCAAGGACATCACACTTTTAAAACAAAGGTTTTTATATGACGTTGACCTGCTGTTAAGCTGGTAAAAACATATTTTTAAAGGGTCTGTAGGGGGTGAGCATACTTGTCATTAGTGACAGGATCAGCATGAGGTATTGTGATACAGCAGTTGGCTTTAGCTCTCACCGGTAGATCAGTGCTAGGACCAAGTCTACTGAAGACACATATACACAGAGAACGACAAAATATATCTGAACTGACAACATAATGTTTCAATAATTATCTAATTAGGACAGGAACAGGTCATGTCATCGTATGAACGATGTTCATCAGTTCTATTGTGCACATTCATTTCTTACTGAGAACAGGAAACATTTTTACAACAAACATTTAAAACAAACACCAGTATCTATTATATGAGCTGCACATTATGCTGCATAACATTAGGCTCTATTATATAATTTGTCAGAAACTAATTTAACAAGTTCTTAACTAAACCCACCCTTCAGCTGTAAGTGTGGTGAACCTTCAGCTGTAAGTGTGGTGAACCTTTACATTTGAGGGGCCGGTTTGGATAAGGCCTTATTAAAATTAGTTTATGACAAATTATAAAATAGACACTAACTGACTAATGTCATTTTACATACTGACTAATGTTGCCCAGCATAATGTACAGCCCATGGATTGGGTTCTGATGCTTGATTTTGAAATTTGCATGGAAAAAAAATATGTTTGACAAACCTTAATTCACACATTTTAAAAGGTTAATGAAAGTCCCTCCACCGGCTCCCTGTAGCTCAAAGAATAGATTTTAAAATACTGTTGTTAGTTTACAAATCACTGAATGGTTTAGTACCACAATACATCAAAGATCTGCTGTTGTTGTATCAACCTTCCAGACTCTCAGGTCTTCTGGTTCTGGTCTGCTCTGCATCCCCAGAACCAGAACCAAGAGAAGAGAAGCAGCTTTCAGCATCTATGCACCAAAAATTTGGAACAAAACGTCCAGAAAACTGTAAAACAGTAGAAACCCTGACTTCCTTTAAATCTCAACTAAAAACGGATCTGCTTAGAATTGTATTTGAAACCTAATATGGAACAATGTATTGTTTATTCTGTTGCATGACTTTGTGTTTTTGTGTTTATGAAGTAAAGCATTTTGAAATGCCTTGCTGCTGAAATGTGCTATACAAATAAAATTTGATTGATTGATTGATTGATTGATTGATTGATTGATTGATTGATTGATTGATTGAGTGAGTGAGTGAGTGAAACCAAATATAATATATGTCTGACTGTTCAAAAAATATAAACATGGTAGTTTTGCCTCTATACTGTTCAAGATATTCAATGACTTTCACAAATTGTCCACTGACATCTGGTGGACGATTTTTGAATTTACATGCATTTGCCAAACCGAAGTTTTGCTGTGTCTTTCAGCTCCTTTTGCAAAGAGTGTTTAAAACAATATCAAACCTTCAGCTATGTGAGTTTCTGTAGAGTTTGTGTTTAATTCAACACAAACACTGAGCAGGAGAATATTATAAAACCCAGCACACTTTAACATCACTGAAAGTAAATTTGCATGTTAGGAAGGTTAGTTAAGCTAAGATGCATTTCATTTACTTTTATTCAAGGCAGGTTTATTTGCTCAGCATATTTCAGCACCAAGGCAACTCAAAATGATGTACCCGATGCAATCATAACACAATAAACAAACAAAACATGTTTGAGACTGAAACCATAAAAAGTTCTAATATATGTTTATTGATGGCATGTATCTTTCACTTTGGTCTATGCGTGTGGCACCCATGTTGTATTTTGCTAAACAGCTTCACGAAGAAAAAACAACAACAACAACAAAGAGCCTCGCAAAGAGAAAACCGTAGCCACAGTAAATTACGGTGGTGGCGGCATCATGCTGTGGGGTTGCTTTTTTTTTCTCATGAACAATGTTCTGAATGTTTTTCAGTGATATCTTATCAATACTTTTACAGAACAAACATGACAAGTCAAGATGAAATATGAGAACATTTTGCAGCGTCTGGGAAGTATGTGGATAAAATGTTAACTACAAAGGACAAATAACTTATGCCTCTCGTACTGAATTAGTTTTAACTACAGTTAACTTCTTGTTTAAATGTTGATGCTTTTATGTAGAAGGGATCGCTTCCCATATAACTGTTAAAGTAAATTCTTAACGGCAATCAGAAATCATAAGATAAGTTGTAACAGAGATTATGAAATGTATCTTGTTATGAGCAGCACCCTTGATACTGTTTATGGTGTAAATAAATACTTGTTTTACATATTGTGTGATTTAAACTGTGCATTTGTTTAATTATATATGCCAAAACTAAAATGAATTTAGGTTGTAAACATTATTTTGGCGTTAAAAATTTAGCAGTAAAGTGTCATCCTGCAAGAGTGTGTCCTTGTCTAATCCACTCAACACATCCAACAGTCTATTAAAGACCTTTCTGTCAAACTTCTGAAACACTCAAACAGCAACAATGCCTACAAGGATAATTATAATGTTGATAATGGTATATTCTACCTTCATAGTGATGAAATAATTATAGTGCTTGACTGAATAATAGTATTTGACTGCATTGAAACACTGCAAAATTAATCATTGCTGTTTTAATGCAGGGTGATTAAGGGGAAAACAAAAACAAAATAGACACACGAGGAGCCAAGGACATTGGTTTCTGATCAGAGTGACCGCTGATTAAATACACAAGACTCTAGGATTAATTTAGCCTGTTCAGGAAAAATCCTGGTAACTCATATGCTTCTTCTTTTGTGTATCGAGTACAGGCTTAGTTAAACCAGAACATCTGGAAAATCTAGACTTGTGAAACAGGCCACATAAATGATTGATTCCAATGAAGATTGAAGCTGTTTCTATTCCAGGCCTGACTGAACTTTAGAACAGTCATTAGTGACATTTTAGAACATTCAGCTAATTATGCTCTAATTAGCTGAATGGCTAAATGCATTTATCTATTTATTCATATGTAAATATATTTAGATAGATAGATAGATAGATAGATAGATAGATAGATAGATAGATAGATAGATAGATAGATAGATAGATAGATAGATAGATAGATAGATAGATAGATAGATAGATAGATAGATAGATAGATAGATAGATAGATAGATAGATAGATAGATAGATAGATAGTGTAATTGTTGTTAATGCAAAAACAGCAACATGAATATATTTCTTTATCTGAGAAATGAGAAGTTGGAGCCGTTCATAAAAACAGGGCCTTTCCCGACCTGATCTGAACCATTACATCCCCGCTTTGTGAAACTGGGCCATCTTTTTTTACGTGCTCGGCGTGTGACGTCATCACGTCAGATGGCCGAATGTTTACATCCAGCAGTGGTGCGTTGACTGGATCCCCCACCACCACCACCGTCAACAACAAGAAGAAGAAAAAGAATAGGCCGACGAGAAGGTAGGCAGCTGAGACAGAGAGCGGTTCCCCTGCCGGTTCCCCGCTCACCGGGCCCGAACCGCGGCTGCTGGCGGCTCTTCTCCCCGCTGCGGCCAGCTTTGGTCCGCGCGTCGTCTCGGTGTTTTCCCCCTCGTGTCTGGGGGACATAATGCAGCGACGTGAAGGTGTTACTGGCTGTTTTACTGCTGTTCGGGTGGAAATAGCGCTAAAGCAGCCCGCTGTTGGTGTGGTGGGGTTTAAACTGGATGGTTCAGGGTGGCGCTAATGGCCGAAGCCCCAGCAGCAGGATGGTGAATTAAAACCTGCGGCGCCTCGTCACAGAAACTCTCTAGGACAAAAAAGAAACATCCACAGAAACGCCAGGGCCGAGCTCTGATGATTGGCTTTCATATAAACGGTGCACTAAAACAACTGGCAAATGATTTAGAGCGCCATCATCTGGTCATTTCCCTCCGGATCCCTTTTGATGGGGGACCCCTGGTTTGTTCCTCAGCATCCCTTTCAAGTCGACTCATCAAAGACCGGCAGCAGCAGCAGTAATATGGAGCTAAGCTGCTCCTTCGTTGGTTTACAGCCTCCTGACGGGCCTTTGGTTTGGTCTGGCCTGATCTGATCTCTGGAGTCCAGCCAGCCTCATGCTGGTGGTGCTGACCTTGTCAATCATTACTGTGAATGTGTCATCAACCTAGACAGGAACACACCAATGTTAGATAAGGAATGTTTATTTCCGTATTCAAACCAAGAAATTGAATTCACTTGATTTTTATAATCATTTGATGGCTTGAAACCCAGAGACAGCTCTTCAACACGTGGACCAGTTAGAAACCAGGCCTTCCAGTTAAACCACAGGACCCCCGACTGCATACCTACATGAGTTGCTGGTCCTTGCAAGACAGATAATAACGCAACAAGAAGGAGTGCACCGATTGCAGTTTTCTGGACGGTCGCTCATCTTTATAAAGCCAAACCTGCTGATTCCAATTTTGGCTGATTTTTGT